TATCCCTTCTTATAGCTAAAACCACTCCTCTTTAACCTATCACAGTCTACCTATTTTATGTCAGTCCTCCTCCTATTTGGAAGCTCCCTTATAAAGTCATCAGTGAGGTTTCCCTGCAGCCTTCTCTTCTCCAGGCTGAACAAGCCCATCTCCCTCAACATATCTTATCAAATATCAAAGGTACAGCATACATAAATACTACCTCAAGCCTGTTTCAGAAAATCTTGCATTTACTGTACCTTACCTGCACAGCTGGTTAATGCATGGTCAGTGAGTTTCTGACTCTCAAGGTCTGACCAAAGGGATCTTTTTTCATTCATCCCAGAATGGGTTTGACACTTAAGATTTCTTGCTCCATAATTACACTTTTAAGGTCAGAATGTTTAAATGTATTAAAAATAATAACAACAATAAAAAAAAAACCTGAGCCAGAAAATAACAGCTGGGTAAGTCGCTGGAACAAAATATAAAAAATGCTTTTTATCTTTGAAACACATGAATAATACTGCCCAACTGCAGTAATGACCGAAGCCCTTTTCATCTTGTTTTAAGCACACCTTTAAAACAAACCACAACAATGGACACAGCTTCCTGCGTTCACTTCCTGCTATGAACCGTTCTAATTCTTTGAAATAAATATGTTTTGGGTTATTTTTGTTAGCATGATGTTTAATATCATTCCCCCAGTGTGTAAATGTGTCAAATACACCAAAGATTTAACATCTGCTACAAATAATTATCCAGAGGACCTCGAGTGCTCTATTTTAAGATTATTAGGATATGGTACAGGTGGCCAAATTACTAAAATATGGGTTCAATTCAATAGTCATGCATTTTCATAGCACGCACGGGATGCTGACGTCTGGAAGCCACATGTTGAAGCTAAGAAGGCATGGCTGGCTTACCTCCCAGACAACTGACCGTTATGGAGAGCCCTGAGTCCTCTGCTTTGCACTGATGGAGTCAACACGTTGAGGATCAGACCTGCTGCCTGGTGGAGAATGGCATCAGATGTGGCTGAGCCCAAATCAGAACCAAACCGTAAAACATCTCAAGAATAAACCAATACAAAATCTGATCTACAGCACTGACTTGGAAAGACATTTTTATTTTCTTTTAAATGCAATTACTAAGTTCACTGAAAACCAACATTTACACGTGCTTTAGAAAGCTGTGTCACCAGTGGTGGGTGCCACTGACCTGACCAGCCTGCAGCTTTTTTTTTCTGACCTTCGTCATCACCTCCACACTGACATGCTCCAAGAAAGTGAATAAACATAGAACCTTAGAGGTTGGAAAAGATCTCTAAGATCACCCAGTCCAACCATCGGCCCACCCCCACCATGCCCACTGCCCACGTCCCTCAGTGCCACATCCACACGGCTCTTGAACACCTCCAGGGATGGTGACTGCACCACCTCCCTGGGCAGCCTGTGCCACTGCCTCAGCACTCTTGCTGAGAAGAAATGTTTCATAATATTCAACATGAACCTCTCCTGGTGCAACTTGAGGCCATTCCCTCTTGTCCTATCACTGTTACATGGGAGAAGAGGCTCCTCACACGTGTCCTCATCCAGTTTGCAGCAAAGTGGAAGAACATAGAAAACTAAAAGCTGTGAGAGAAATCACTGAGCCACTTTTCTACGAATCCACTCTTGCACAGCAGCACGTGTGGTACTGTAAGATCATCTCAGGTGTGCTCATTTTCTGTCACTGCACAAAGTGAATGGGTAGAGTCCCACTGGGTGCTCATAACTGCTCTGGTGACAGTGCTCTGTACCAGCACTTCCCAAGCAACGCACAAAGGAACTGTTTCTGACTATACCCACAGGGTTTGTTGCAAGTATTTTCCAGGGTGTAGAGGTAGAAATGGTCTTGCAGTTGCCCTCTGTGCTTATTCAGCATTGAAAATATATGTATCTCAATCCAATTCAGAGGCAAATTAAACTGAGCAGCACAGGTGTCCTCTGTCGCCTGTGGGAGCTGCTGGGAGCCAGCAGGAGACACCTAGCACACTTTGAACACCTCTCCTACTTTTCAATAACCACCTCAAACCCCAGTTTCATAGGATGATCAGCAGGCCAAAGTTTTTTTTTCTACTGTCTCCCACATGGCTGCTTCTGTTAGTGCAGCTACAGATCTTCCATTTGTAGCCTTCCTACTCATGGAAGCTTTTCTGAAGCAGGACTGTGCCTCTGCCACATCTGTTGGGCCATGACGGTGCTGCCCCTGAATGGGGACCCTTGTACCTTCCTTCCGTGGATCATTAATTCCCCACGAGGCAGTACATTTGCCTTAAAGAGCCAGTGGAAAAAAAGACTGTTTCAGTAAACCATGAAAAAAGAATCAAAGTCTGAATCTGACCCAACAGTAGAATTCAAATATCAATCCCAAGCATATGAAATACAGTGCATTTACCATTAAGAAAGCACTCCACAATCCTCTGATGAAAATGCAGGGAAAGAAGCCACAATCTATTCAGGAAAATGTCTACATTTAGGAACTGGAAACCTTCAGAAATTTCCATTTTCATCTTTTTTCTCTGACATTTACAGAAAAAATTCCTCCTTCTTGGGCCTTCTTCATCTTTGATATCTGACCTTTGTTCACACTCTCCAAGAAAGGAAAAGGAGTCAGTGGGGAGGACTTCCACATTGTTGTGATGGAGCATCAAGGAAGGCTGGCTTATGGGGAGTGGTGGGGGAGGAAGAAGTGCCTAACTTGGTAATAAAAACACAAATGGATGATCTTTAAGGTCCCTTCCAACCCAGCACCATCTGTGATTCCAAAACAAGCCTGGCTTACTGCACAGTATGCACATGTCCAGACTGACAGATTCACACCAGTGGGAACTAGTATAGTACAAAGCTTGACCTCACCTGCATGGTAGATCACAGCTGGAAGGAAACACCTGGATGCAGAGAGTAAAACCAGCCAAATAGTATCTAACCAAATCATCACATCCCAGGTAGACGTTTCCAGGCTATGGAGACCAATCGCAAGCTCTGACAGAAATCTTCAAAGATTAATAGATACTCTAGCTTCCAAGTCTGCAAGAGTTTTCAGTCTTTTAATTGCCAAACTGATGAGTTTTATCACTAAACAAACAAACAAAAAAACCAAACCAAAACAAAACACCCCCCAAAACAACAAGCTCCTGCTTGTTTTTCCAAGGAGGCTGTGGATGCCCCATCCCTGGAAGCATTCAAGGCCAGGCTGGATGTGGCTCTGGGCAGCCTGGTCTGGGGTTGGTGACACTGCACATAGCAGGAGGGCTGGAACTAGATGATCACTGTGGTCCTTTTTAACCCAGGCCATTCTATGATTTTATGATTCAAGGTGTTTAAGAGCGTTCTCACATCTCAGCATAAGTTTAAGTGGTAAAAACTGAATTACAGCTCAAGGGATAACACTTTTAAACACTGCATAGGTAATAAAAACAGTACTAGAAGTATATTTACAGTTCCTGTAAGAGCCTGCCTATTTTTATGAAATATTTTTCTTGTTATATACTTTATCGTTAACCAAACACATACAGTGTGCAAGTAAGAAATAGGTGCAGCCAACACACAACTCTTCCAGAGCAACAGAATTACTCACTCAGATCAGTTGTACAAACAGGTTTTAATTAAAATGCTACACAGAAGTAAAAAAAAAAAACAACCATAAATAGGAGGAACCATATCCTGCACTTCACAAGTCTATTCAAAAATAGAGACCATTTCAAGTAACAGTTACTCGCTTAACTCTAGCTATATTAACTGCAGTTGAAATCAGTGTCTTGAGTTAGTCAACTTCAAACCCACATCAAGAATGTTCTACTACAATGGCAACCACAATACAGTGTGCAGTTTAAAATATCAAATAAAACCCCAAACTAAAAGAAGTTACAGTGGGCTTGCTGAAGCCTGGAATTACTTGCTTCAGTGGACACTGACTTAGCCAGCAATTTTCCAACCAGAAGGGATGGCAGATACATGAAAGGAATATACGCTGTTCAGAAAGTTTCTGAACATCCAAAGTTATAGGAAGCAGAGAACTCCAAAACTGCTATATTCTTTTTGTACCAAAGGATAAGCTGCGTGAAATTTAAAGATCTCTGTCCACCGACAACAGCAGCAAAGCATATTTTTTTAATCACCATATTAAGTAAAGCGTGTATATGCAGTCTAGTTCAACAAGTCAAAAATGCATGCCAACTCTAACAAGTATTTTAAATATATCGCAAAATTGACAGTAAATTTCAGAATTTTTTCAAGTACTTTAGAGTTCGAATGCCTACTTTCCTCCAAAAACTGTGCATTCAGCATAAAAGACTTTGTGAAATAGAAATGTTGAGGTTTGTCCTGGTAAATCCTGCTGAAGCACCTTGCAAGCCTACTGCCATGATGGTTCCTGCCTCTGTCCAAAATCTGACAGAAAGCCAGCTCCTGCACTTCAATAACTCCAAGACTAAAGCTGCAAAGAAACACGAGTCCTTGATGAAGTACTGCAAATGGGAACTGAATGTGGGCACGTATCTCTTCCTGCCTGATCTGCAGGCGGTACATCCTGAACTGCTGTGATCCTTTACTCAGTGAATCCAATTCACAGCTATTCCATGAGTTCAAACAATACCTGCATTCCTGCCTCTTTGTAAAGCAAGCTTATTTTCCACTAGCAATTCCTTAAAAGGTATCGCTATTAAAAAATATGTATATACACATGTACATACATATACATACATAAAAAGATGCACATAATATTTTCTTCACCTCAGAAATCTTTAAGTTAGGTAATATAAACTGAAGTAGAAAATAGACAAGAATACACTGACCATATTTACTTTTTTGTATATATCAGGAATCAATTTAGATAAGACAATTCCTTCAGGAAGAAGAGAAGAAATTGCTTTTCATATTTAAGATATCTTTCCTCACAAAGCTGCTCCTGGAGAAAGTCTTCCATCCCTACAGAAAAAAATCGTGTGTTTATTGTGCTGAACTAGAAAGTAACCAAAATGAATTCAAAAGTAAAAATTAAGTAGAATTTATTCCACTTCTGAAGAAATAACTACAATTCCAAAGTGCCCTCTCTGGAAGAAACTGGAGATAAAAACAAGTGTCATCCGTGTTGTAAGTGTCCTCTTTAGATATAGATATTATTGTGAGTTTCAACAGTTGTCAGCAACTTCTTCAAAATCTTTGTGCTCTCGGATACATCCTAGGAAAAGGAAACGATGATCAGCATTAGCTACATTGTTCTTAACAAAATAAAAACAAATCAAAACCCACTAAGCCTTACTATCACCCATTCCTATTTTCAATATTATGAATATCTGTCTGGTAAACATGTTAATTGTAAACAAATATTGCATCATCTTAATGAAAGTATCTAGAAAACTCTCAAAGGCATCTAAGGAACTTGCAGTTTAACAGCGCAATGGGGTTTATCAATTTGCCTTTCTCCTCCCTTGTACAGTGGAGGAAGAGCCTACATTTTCGTTGTTTTTTCCTTCCATAGATGTAAATGAATACATTATCATAGAATGGCAGGGGTTGAAAAAGGACCACAATGATCATCTGGTTCCAACCCCCCTGCTATGTGAAGTGTCACTAACCCCAGACCAGGCTGCCCAGAGCCATATCCAGCCTGGCCTTGAATGCCTCCAAGGATGGAGAATCCACAACCACCTTAGGCAACCTGATCCAGTGTAAACCTGTTTTAAGTTCAAACATCTAAGGGTTAGTCATTTGCACTTACATTTACTATAGCATTCACTATAAATGAATTCTAACTGGTAATTTCCACACTGCAAGTTGAAGTACTTCAACACACACAAATGTCTTCTATCACTGAAATGGAAGTCCATCCAGGCAAAACTGAGGAGGGCGTTCTGCATTGTGAAGCAACTATACTTTGATTAAAGTATTTCAGAAAGCAGCTAAACATTCACCTTAGCATCCCAGAATACCTTGATTTGCTTGGTTAGTGCAGAAATATGGAATCGTCTTTATAACTGAGTTAGGAGGTCCAGGATTTAAGAAGCTTTCAGGTATGGCATAAATCAGTTAGGCTCTACAGGTTTGGTGGGTCGTATTACCAGCTAAAAGCAAAAAATGGAAAGATAGACCAAACCTCTCATTAATTTTTAAACATGAAATTTTACCTTGACTAAATTCTTCAGGGACTTAGAAGAAAGCAGAGGCTTGAATGCCTCAATTGTAACCGTGTCCAGTTTGATGATATCAGTGTAGCACTGGTACAGTACTGCAGGAATCTGCCATACTTGACAGTAACTCAGAACTAAATACAAATGAAAAGAAAATGTGTGTTACGTTCAGCAGCAAACAGGCACATGAGAAAATAAACTATCAAAAAGCAGTAATGCACAGTTCCATCTTTTTTGCTGGTAAATATCTTCAAGAGAAATGCTTAATTAATAAACAAAGGCAATATGAACTTTTGTTGGAATAAAACATAAAAATGCAAACTACAAATAACAGATTTTTTTTTTTTTTTCTTTGAAAAATCATCCAACATTTAGCTCTTCCCAGACAAGGTTTTCCTCATGGATGCTAACATTAATTTGGTACTCTATAAAGAAAAGCCTTACAGAGGTTTCATTACAGCACACAATAAAACCAAATTTAACCTTTACATGAGGCCAAACAGTAGCATCATGAAACCTATTTACCTCTAACAAGCAGAAAGAGCTTATAAACCTCAATCTAGACATGTTCATATTTTACAAGGCAACATGTAAGATGGTGAATTGTTAGGAATTAATTTCCAAAAAGCCAATCTGGTAGACAATTCATATCATCAAGTAAAAAATTAGAATTACAAACGGATTTTCTTCAAAGCAAATTTTATATTGCCACTGTGAGATTGAAAAATACCAGCAGCAGGAAGATCTCGCACAATGTTTGGTTGCTCCAGCAGTGGACAGCAGAGCTCCTCTTTGAATTCTTTCGTCTTTAAGGCTTTCAGAAATGGAGACGGAAGCGTCAAAGTGGATTCCTGAGTTTTATACTCAGCTACAGGACACGTTGAAAGAATGGTTACTTGTAAACCTTCCTTTCTTATGTGGCCAAAAACCTGAAAGAAAAACATTCATTTATCAGCAAAATTTATCTTCTCACATCAACAATGTTAAAAACACAGACATGAATTTCAATTTGAGTGCAGGCAACAAAGAGCAGTCTTTGCTTGGAAGACTAACTAAAATTTGATTCAGAGTCCTTTGAATGGAAATTTCATGTGGGTTCCTTTCATAACAGAAGTTAAAAAAATGAAGAGAACAAAGAGCTAATATATTTACCAAGTCTACTAGTCTTCTTGAGAAGCTTCATATTTTCAGCACTATCCTTTCACCTGCAAATATATTAAGGCTTACTATTTTTACTAAGGGTGATAGCAGAAGAAAAAAAAACTCCAAATAAAAATCAGGCTGCTTGTAACAGCAAGGTAGCTTGACGGGTTCAGAGACATTACAAATTGAAATTGTGCTCCCCAGATGTTGTTTCTGATTTATGTTGTTCTTAAATTTATGATGAATCATTTTCAGATACTCAGATTTTATTTAATTATGCTCAAGTTGAACAGAGAATTGAGAAAATATTTTTCCTGCAGTTTCCCTCAAATTCAAATAAGCCTAAAATAACATCAGCAAAACATGTATTTGGATCTACTGCACGCCATCACAAAACATACTGCACAGCCCTTCACTGTTTTGAAAGAATCTATGAGCAGAAGTATGAGAAACATGCACTTTCCCTCTCAACTCTCCTCTCCACATTTGCGATCAGAAAGGAAATAAAGCATTTGGTAAACATTACAGAAACTTGCCTGCTTCTGTACATAGCACCAATCACAGAAGTGGACCTGATGACTCCCTCACATCAGTGTGTTACCACTGTAATATAAAACTGATGTAACTTTTCAAAAGGCCTTATTTTTCAATTAATGGGATGTTTACTGTCCTGGTTTTGTTTGGGATAAAGTTAATTTTCTTCTAGTAGCTGGTATGGTGCTGTGTTCGGATTTAAGATAAAAATAATGTTGACAGCACACTTAAGTTGCAAGTTGTTGCTGAGCAGTGCCTACACAGAGCCAAGGACATTTCAGCTCCTCGTGCTGCCCGGCCAGCAAGGAGCTGAGGGTGCACAGGGAGCTGGAAGGGGACAGAACCAGGACAGCTGACTCTGGCCCACGTGGATGTCCCATAACATGTGGTGTCACCTTGAATAACAAAACCGGGGGAGCTGGCCAACGGGACTGCCACTGCTCCAGTACTGGCTGTTGGTGAGCAATTACACTGCATTGTGCACCACTTGTTTGGACTGGCTTTGTTGCTATAGTTTGTTTTACTCTTTTCTCTCCTCTTCCCAGTCACTTTCTTATTAAATTGCCTTTATATCTTACCCACAGATCCCTGTGCTTTTCAATTTTCTCCCCCATCCCACAGCAGGGTGGGGATGAGCTAATGGCAGTGTGGTGTTTATCTGCCTGCCAGGTAAAATGGCAACTGCTTACTCAGCCTGGGAACACTGTTGGTATCAAGAAAAGTTCTGCAACAAGTTCACATCTTTTTTTTTTTTTGTCAGTGATCACTTACTGAGAGCACAAATGAAAAAAATCTGGCTCATGGAGACTGTGAGGATTTCCAGTTAGTGACAATTTACAAAGTATACAGAACAGACATGTAACTCAAGCTAAAAGCAAAAGTATAACAACTTAGCTGTAAATTCTAAATACTCAGTAACACTGACCTGGTTTTAAAACTGTACACTTCTACTGTTCAAAACCACTCACATTTGAAATAATACATACACAAGCAGCTGGAAAAACAGAAAGGGAGAAGACAGTGCAAACCACAAGAATCTTTCTTTTCCCCATTTAAATGAAGTGCAAGAAAGCGTGGAATACAGAAAAACCACAGTGTTTAAGGTTCCAAGGTTTCTAAATTTCAAGTCAACCACTAATGCCTCACTAGGTCAAATAAACTTATCAACCAGCCATGGAATGACAAGAAAACCAGTTTTCCACAAACGTGGGTCTGAAATCCCTGTATCACTCAACAAAGTTACCCCAGATTTTCATCTCCTTTGCCACCTCACAACTGTTGTGGTTCTCTTGTACAAATCTCCCCTGCATCCAAGTAATCCTCCTTATGTGCTGGCTTGGCCAGCTGGCAGTAAGACAAAGCTGCTCGGGGACTGGCTGGGCATCAGCCAGCAGTAGTGAGCAACTGCTTTGTGCTCCACTTGTTTTGTGTGTGTACACACACACATCCTATATAATCACCATCATTACTTTTATTTCTCTCTTCCTTTTTTTAGTAAACAGTTTTGTTTTTTGTTTTTATCTCTACTGTAAGCTCTCTTTTTTTGCCCCCAGTTCTCTCCCCCATCTCACCGAGAGCAGGGGGAGCGAGCAGTGTGGTGTTGAACTGCCCACAGGATTAAACCACAACAACCAAATAAACCACACCTCCCTTGAGGCAAGGATGGGACAGGGATCCACATCCGAAAATGAACAGCCTGAAAATTCCCCTTGGGATTTACTTTATTAAAGTCAAAAGGATATTATCTGGGGAGGGGTGAGAATCTGAATGACTAGCAGTACTTGCATCCTTGAATCATGATAGGGCTGTCCATATAGCAATCTGAGTATATTAACAAACGGGACAGATAATACTTTGGAAGCAGTTTCTTTTAGACTTCCACCTTGTGAAAGAAACAGATCACACCCATTTGTGAAGACATAATCTACCCTGAATTTCACAATGTTTATCTGGCAGCTGTACAAATTAAATTATGTTTTAACTTTATTACAGAAGGATTCTCCCAGAGCTGAAATACCAGTTGAAACAAGTCACTGAAAAGTTAAGATGAACAGGAAAAAATTTGTAAAACAGGAAAGGAACAAAACTGAAACTCTCCAAAAAAGTAACTGCAAAGTGAGTTATGATAAACATAACTGGCAACATCTAGAAAAGAATTTCACAGAATTCAGTAATCCTAAATTTGTTGAGTACTTAAAGTCACAGCAAAAACCAGTTATTTACAGTACTGTCAGGTATAGAAGAGTAGAGAGAAGAGGCAGATGCACTAACTTGAAGATCCTAAGATTTCATTGCTCAATATGTTGTCTTGCAGTTATACCTTTTCAAGCCACTGGAACTGCTGATCTTCAGCAACATAGCAACTACACTGGCACAACAAAACCTGACAAAGGAGAGAAAAAAAAAAAGGTTGTTTAAGTGGTTTATAGGACACAACAGCTTACTATCACATGTAAAGTGGTATGACTGCAGTCAACAACTTGTTTGGTACTCCTGGGATTCTTTATCTCTATTTCAGCATGAGTTTTTCATTCGTAGCCTCACATGAAACATTCCACCACGTAGGGGAGACCTCATTGCAGCCTTTCAGTACCAAAAGGGAGCCTATAAACAGGAGGGGAATCAACTCTTCAAAAAGGTAGATAACAGCAGGACAAGGGGAAATGGTTTTAAGTTGAGGGAGGAAAGATTTAGGTTGGATGTCAGGGGGAAGTTCTTTACTATGAGAGTGGTGAGGTGCTGGAACAGGCTGCCCAGAGAGGTTGTGGATGCCCCGTTCCTGGAGGTGTTCAAGGCCAGGCTGGATGGGGCCCTGGGCAGCCTGATCTAGTGTTAAATGGGGAGGTTGGTGGCCTTGCATGTGATGAGGGGGGTTGGAAATTCATGATCCTTGAGGTCCCTTCCAACCCAGGCCATTCTCTGATTCTGTAATACCATCTTTGCTTTAAACTCCACACACCAGAACTCAAAGTGGTTTTAGTAACCATAATGACCTTTCACATTTTCTTGTAAGAATAATCCAAAATGCTGCAGCTGTAATGTTTTATCCTCTGTTTGTCCTGGGCAAGGTGGGGATCAAAGGAATTTGCTTCCTTTTTCAGAGCAGGAAAATACAGAGAAATTCATGCATAAGTCACTTACTGTTGGATCTGATATTAATTGATAGAACAAGCAGAAAGAATCTGTTGGGAGGACACTTGTTGCATTGGTTGTTTGGCACCACTCATTCCACAGTTTCACAGCTCCAACTACTTTCCAACATAAGGAATCCAGAATAAAAGAAGACAGAAAAGCTGCAAAGAATGCCAATGTTAATTTACAAAGAATAAAATCTCTGTTCTACAAATAAACAGTTGGAGTGAAATATTTCTTTTCAATATCCTCAAATTAAAAAGGTACAGTAAAAACATTTTTATTGACATACATTTATCAACCACATCCAGCAAAGACTGTGACTAATCTTGCTGAATCAAGACATAAAGAACTGTTCTACATATAGGTAGAGATCTCTATCATTAGCAACACATATTAAGAATTATATTGCTACAGCCAACTTGGATTCCTTCAGAATATACTAAGAACAAGTGCTACTAAATATTATAACTCTAATAGCTCTTGACATATCAGATTCAACAGATTTCTCAGGAAAAAATGATAGTAATCAAGTCAGCAAGGCAGAACTGTAACTTTGGCTCCAGAAAGCAGACACGTGAGCATGCAAGACTTAGTGGTAAAAGAGCTGCTGAATCAAATTATTATAAATCAAAAGTAGTTCCTATGAAAGAGCAGACCTAAAATGCATATTTAACTACTTTTAAAGGAAAATCATCAAGAAAGAAAAAAACAAGTTACGGAAGTTAACTAGGATAAAGATGGTCTAAATGTAGAAAAGACTTAAGATGCCTCCATATCCAAAGGGAAAGAACTGTTCAGGAGCTCAAGGCCGTGGTATGCATGTTTGGGAAGGGGAAAGGCTGTCTCAAGACTTCAATGCGTAACCATCTCAGAGCATTACAAATGAGGATAGGACCAAAGTGTAAGAAGGTGACTCAACAAGAAAGAAGTTATACCAAAAAAAAAATCCTTGCTCACTAGTAATTAAAAAAAAGGTGAGGAGAACTCAAAAGTCAGAAGTTTCTGTATGTAATCCATATTTTGCAAAGAATGTTAAACTAAATGAAAAGGGGATGAATAGGACACGGAATATTTTCAAAATCAGAACAGTTAAGTTTCAGAGAAGCTTCCCATACTCAGGGAGAAAGAGATAATTCACATCCCAGAACTTTAGAAAAAGGATGAGTGAAGTAACACTTGTAATATTAACAAGCGTAACCCACATATCTGGTTCAGTAGTACAAAGTGATCTGGGCACAGCAGGGATAAGTCAGCATTCTGAAATACAAGCACAAGTGCCATAGCTGACGTGCACAGCTTTATAACTGCACAAGTCCTATTTGTAAGCACTGCACCGAGCTACGTGCCATTATCAAAAGGCAGTTTTTGCAAACTAACCAACAATCCAGGTAGGAGCAGCACGCACGAACAGGATGAAGGACGAGGGACACGGTCCCATTTAAACCCACAGACAAAGCACGTTCTGCATTCCCCCTTCCTATTACTGCACCGCGACCCAACCCAACACGCTGCCAGCACAAGGACCGTGCTTCGGCCATTCCAGCCCCACGCGCTCGGTTTCCCACCTACCGACAGCGTTGTGTCCTACGGCGACGATGAACCTGGAGCACGGCAGGGGTTCCTCGGCAGGCCTCCCCGCTGCGCCCGGCGTCCAGAACGCGGCGATCTCCCTGCCGAGAGAGGCCGGGCTCGCAACCCCCCTCCGGGAAGCACGGCGCTGCGCAGCGCTCGCACCCCACGCCGCTACCTTTTCTCCTGCAGCTCCCTACGGATCTCGCGATCCTCGGCCGTCTCCTCGATCTCCTCCTCATCGTCCACGCCGGCCCGGGAAGGAGCAACCACAACCTCTCCGAAAAACGTCGCCATCACCTCGCCGTCACCGCCTCCCGCCTTCCTCTCCTCAGCGGGCGGGCACCGCGCACGCGCGCCGAGCCGCTCCGCTGCGCCGGTACCATAGAGTTTCTCTCAGCGCTTCGACGCTCTAGCCGCGCCGACCATAGAGAGCGGGCTCGGCGGGAGGACCGGAAGCCCCAGACCCAAGTGTGGCCCCAGCCCTCCCTTACCGCCCCGTCTGGTCTGACTAGAGCCAGGCCAAGTCAATAGGAGGCAGAAGGAATTGTTGTTCCAGCAGAGAACGCGTTCAGTTAGCGAAGAGTAAAATAACTACATGCTTAGAGGAGCGAAAGGAAAAACAAACGAAACAAAAACCCTTTAATCACCACCTGTCTGTCTATAAAACAAGGAGATACACAACAGCATTTGCTCTGCTTATAAAATAAAGTGTTCTGCTCCTTAAGCTGGCAGTTCCCTTCCAGGTATGGGAAAGCCGAGGCCAGAAGCTGCTCCCACCCTTTGGGGCCATCACAAGCCTATGGTGTGTGAGCACAGCGTGACAGAACAGGGCAGCCGAACGGCAAGAAAGAAAAACATCTTTTTGAGTCTGAATTAGAAATACAAACCTACCAAACTGAGATTTAACTGTTTAATAAAAAATAAATTTAAAAAGAATGAGTCCTTGTAACAGATTGTACCCCACTACCGGGGGTTATATTTCATAGAACAGTGATTGTAAGCAGCTGCTGAACAATTCAATCTACGTCGGGGTAACAGAAATAACCACTTACTCTCTTTAACAAAGGTGCTCTTAATAGGTGTGATACACAAAGCTGCTCTGAAGAGCCAGGTCTCCTCACTGAACACAACCGTGTTCCTATTTCACGTACCAACTTAAAGGAATCAAATAAACATCTTGAAATTACTAAATTCTAACATTATATTAAGAGATTATACTCTAAATAAAGAAAACTCCTGAGGCAAGTGACATAAACTAGCTTATTCTTGGACTTCATACAGAAGTTTTAAGGAAAAAAAAAACAAAACAGTACTTCTCTGTACTGAGATAACGTTCTAGATACCAAAATGTGATGGTCAGTGCACCTCTTGGCACAATGTCAGCAACAACACTGGAGAAGTGCTTCTCATTAACTGCTGCCAGCACTTTTATTACTTCACTACCAGTTGTATAAGCACTTATTATATTACTAAGTGTGATTATGAATCTGTACTTTTTTCCCCAAAGCCCTTCAAGATGCTATTACCTGTCCAGTCTGCTAGAAAACTAACTCATGAGCTTGCTGTTTCAGTTTGAACTGAGTCACAGCTAGTACTTTGACATATCTCCTACTGAACAAAGCAATCAGGAATGGCATACATCAGCCACGTGAGAAACTGAACCAGCAGAGAGGCAGGAAAGACACAGCAGAGAGTGAGAAAGGAGCAGAGCACCTCGTGTTGGATTGAAGACAGTGATTTGGGGGGAGAGGGGGAGCCTAACCAGCTCCAAGGAAAAGTAAGAATTCAGAGGTGCTATGCATTCTCCTGTTTGATGCACAACCAACCAAAAATTTATGTACTTTTTTTTCCCTGGACAATTCATCTTCTATGTAATAATTATTTTTTGACAACAGCCACCTCAAACATCTCAAAAATTGGTAGATAAATGGCAGCAATCACAACCGATATGTTTAATCAATGCAAAACTCTAACATTAAAGTACTTAGAAGTTTAAATGTGGAAGACCAATAGAGATTTAGCAAAAATGGTCTGGAATGTAAGAATCCTGCACCTCCAACTTCTCACGCATAAAAAAGAAACAACAAACAGAACAAGTGTTTTGTTGGTTTTTCTATTTTATAAAGAAAACACACAAAAACCCTTAGGCCCAAGAGTTCACCTGCATTTCATATTCTTAAGTTTACAGTATAGAAGTCACATTAATGATAGTACTACCTGTCAGTATAAACCCTCTCTTCACCAGCACCATTTGCCTTTTTAAATGGCAAATACGCTTTTCTCAACTAGTAACTGGTTCTAGTTGTATGTTTCCATTAATGAACGTACAGAACATTTAACATCTGTACTAATAGAAGCTGTAATGTTGTTAACTCAGTGACTGTTCATTACTCGTTTGATGCAATACTAGCATCCACCGAATTTTTATAGCATACACTATTATTTATAAGCCTGTTAATATCGTATATGATTTCTTACAGCATTAGAGATGTTTGAAATTTGTTCTCGAATGTTGAATGACCTAGGTAGTATTCCATTGCAGCACCCATAACAATAATACTCAACATACTGCTATTAACCTGTTACGCAGTGTTTTAACTTTTTTTTTTTTAAACTCTTGTTATATGTAATAAAATACCAGTAAAGACAAAAAAATTGCCCCTATAATGAGGCACATTTTGGCATCTGTGCTAAATGCTGCTACATGGGCAGGCAAGTGCAAGTCAAAATATGAAAAGGAGAAAGTCATGATCTAATCACATTCATAACTTTTTCATAGAAAAATATAAATATATTCCCTGAAATGTAGGACAAGGAAGAGCCAGCATCCAACATGAGTTCTAGTGCTATTACCATTAAAAAAAAAAAAAAGTGGGCTGGCTTTTCCTTTTAAGGTTACGTTTCACAAGCTGCATCACCTACACCTCTGTCATCATCGTCATCGTCACAATCGTCGTATCTAACAGTCCGCCTACCCCTGTTTCGAGTTCTTATCTTAGTACGCCGGTTAGCTCTTCTATATTTGGTATACTCCAAATCTTCAGAGTCATTTTCTTGCTTAGGTTTCCGACGTTTCCTTCGCTGGGGTCTTCTGGAACGCTTAGGTAAATTTGAAATTTTTTTTCTAACGATGTCTGTTTTTCTCTTTTTTCTTTCTGTGGCGTTACTATATATACTGTTATCAGTTCCAGAGTCTGAATCAGAAGAACAGTTGAGATTGGCTTTTGAGCTCCCTGCAGCTCCAGGTGTTTCCACATTCTCTGATACTGAGCTTTTTTCCTCTATCTTCCTCCCTGCTGCAGATTCTGATGCTTCTTTTAAATCATTTGATAATTTTAATCTTTTCAAAGGAGCTCTGGATTTTTTCTTTCGTGCTCTTCTGATAGTTTTAGTTTCACGTTTAGCTAACTCAGAACCCACCTCCTCTTCAGAGTTGCTCATATGATGGTTGTAGGCTGAAGTTGACTGACCAGAAGTTCTCCAGTTTCTCCCATTTTCTACCTTGTGGTTTGTGGAATTCTCCTCTGAAGAATCAAACTTATTCTTAAGAGCTGCATCACTTACAGTTCTCTTTGCCTGACTGTCATTATCATCATTCTCCTTTTTAGTCACTTGTATCTCCACCTCAGATTCCGTTTTTTCATCTTCGGACTCACTAATGTATTTTCTCTTAGGAGCAGATGATCCAGAACAAAAATCATCTTTTCCATCAGAATCCTGTTCTTTCTCATTTTCAGACATTACACTAACATCTATATCTGAGCTGCTGATCAGTTTTTTCTTGGATGCCACAGATGCGCCGCCATGAAGCTGCCTTCTGTTCTTTTTCACCGTGCAAACACTCTCTGAGCTCGACAGCTCTTCCTTTGTATCACTCATTATCTTAATCTTATTAGCTGCTAGAGTGGCACATCTGCGTGGATTTTTCTTTTCCGTCACATTAGATACCTTAATGTGTTTCCTGTAGTTAATGATACATGTCCTGCTCCTGAGCACCTTCCCACTTTGTCCAGGCTCCTCAGATGTAGATTCTACAAAACAAAATATTTAAAATTTCCTTTTAATAACTCGCATTCCTGAAACAACCATTTAATGAAACATGCAAATACATGTTTTTATTTCAACCATTATGAACAATCTACCCTAAGATTTTACTAAAGATACAGCCAGACATTCAGTCCTGAGCATGTTTTTTAACTCTCAGTATTAGTCTTCATCTTTGATATGATGAAAGGTTGTACAATAACCTGTAGCATCTGTAGCATCTCCCTGTAAAAACTGCCTTACAAATTACCAACTTAGCCAACAACCTTTCTCGTACTCCTACTTCCATCATTAAAGCTATAACTTCTATTACTGTTTTTACTTGATCGTTCAAAAATGAATTATTATAAATTTTACACTCTTTATTCTTACAAAAATATTACAGAATTTTATACAGCCAGAAGTCCAGGGTGAATATCACTAGTTTAGAATTGCTTCATTTTACATAGAAAGCACTATAAACCATTTGTATAGAGACTTAAACTATAAGACTGCTTTTAAAAGTGAATATTATAGTTCTTTGTTTAATACAGCACTTCTTATACTGGATTGTAAACAAATATTCCATGTATAAATACTAAGAATGATACTACCAAAATAAATGCTTTGAACTTTCACCTTCTAAATAAAGCAGAATTGTTAATAGATATTTGCCAGAAATTAAAAGCAAAAGTTCCTGAAATAAATTTGCATAGATTCAACAAAGGAAAAAGGTTGTTTTAGCAGGAATGTCTTTTGAAAAGTTCACATTTCTCAAAATTGATGTCTATCTCATATTTCTTTGGAGCTTTACTGATTTTATGAACAAGATGTGCACCAGGAAAGTATTACATTATATTGACCTATTACCACTTGATAATAGAAATAACAATCAATTTTGCCATAGCTTGAACCCACTACTCTGCAGACGGGTGGAAAAGCCATGGCAGCTCTCATCTTACTTCATGGAAAGGTAGGTCACTATTTTTCAAGTAAACATTTAAAGAGAAGGAGGTTTAAAGTGAATGCTTTCTTTTAATGGAGGGATGAAGAAAGCTTGTCTTGCTAATGCTATTTCAACTACTGAATCTGAAGGTCTAGCATCTTTTGAGAAGACAGCTATTGAGAGACTGAGACAAACTCCAGTGAGGTTCAGTGCTTGGCTACTTCTGGCCAGACTACTGTGTTCAGCATTGTTACAAGTCATTCAGGCTCCTTTGTTCCCCAGTACATCACCTGTGAAGTTAAGACAGGACAACATTTTCCCTCAACTCTGTAAAGAAAAAATGCCACGATGTACTCTAAGGGATTAAAAAAACAGCTCTACTATGATAAATTGTTTATGCTTTTTTTTTTTTTTTTTTAAACATTTCAGCAGCTAATTCATGAGACCAAATGAAAGACTGAAGGACAATAACATCACATTCTACACAAGACAGCAGTCCAGATTTTATGTAACACACTACCAGACTATTAAACCTGTACAACCTGTACTTTGTACACAATCTCAAATTGGCAGTAAATTTGCATAAAGCTTTATTTTTATTTTTTTTTACCTAATACTTCTTACTAGAATCAAAATCCAGTCTGCAGTAACTGCAACATTCCCACACATCACAGTAATAAAAGAGACAAGTTTAATGAAACTACACAAGACTATCATGCATTAAATTCTGCAGAGGTACAATTGTACAGACAGGGAGAATCAAATAAAGAACTCCATTAGCAACAGATTAGGATCTACAAGAAAACATTTACAAAGACAGACATCAAGATATAAAGGTCTCATCCATCCAGTCTACTGTTGCGACAAGCAGTCCTGTAGTACATGCTATCAAATTTTAAACTTGGGAGCCCAGGCTGCAATACTGGATAGGAATATCGCATACATAGCCTCTTATGTACAGCCAAATATCCAAATGAATTTATATTCTATAAATACTAAAGTATTTAAATAAAAGCATATATATGCTCCAACAGTACCAAATAATAGCAGATTTGTACTTGTAAAATCTAAGTTTCTTATTTACAAGTAACTGTCAGCCTCTTCAAGAGAAAGGAATACGTGCGCCTGTTGGTAAACCACAGTAAACTAGGCTGTGCTAATAACATGCCTGTTGCACCCCTTATCAGCTGAGGAGCAAAATGAGCTAGAGAGCATCTGCCAGCACAGAAAATAGTTATGTAGCCTGTGGTAGTATGTCAAATTAGAGAGTAGAAAAACTGAAATATCAAATACATATTTTACTGTAAACGTCATCCACAGCTATTAATCAATTCATATGAAAGACAACTAACACTTCTACAGAACCACGTGGAAACCATTAACTCCCCAAATAAAGAAAAATGCCCAAAAGGTACTAATCATTGTCCTGTGCAATGCTCCTGATATACTCCTCATTCACACGAAAGCAAGTCTCCAATTCATTCCTACATTTTTAACTGTCTTGGTTCTGTATGTATCAGATCTCTCTCTTGGTTTCAAACATGCTCTCCAAAATCACACACAAACCTCAAACACTGGTAATCCAAAATCTGGGAAAAGCCAGCTTAAGAACATTACCATCACAGCATCAAAATGCATCTCTACTTTGAGAAGGACGCTACGTATCGCTGACAATAAAATCCAAAAGGCAAATCAAGATTCCAGTATATGCCATGGAAAGAAAAATAATTCGGACATTATCAAATTAATTTTGAAAGACTACAAAATTACTTGAAATGAAAATAAGTCTGCTTTAGCACAGAAATTCTCAACAGCAAAAGGCAGTAATTGAAAGTAAGAACTATCACTTCATACAGAAGCTCATAGATTTTCATTATTGAAATTCTTAAAACAAGGAGCAGACTGACTAAAGAGAACAAATTCCTCCTTTTGTGATACCTTGAACTTCACACAAGAGAACTCATTCATATATATTCTCTAATATATATGCATAGAGAAGGAAGTGCTGATTAAATATGAAAACAGTAGTGACTTAATGACTTCTTCCATAGACAAATGTAAACCCTGAACTGCTCAAGAACTTTCAGCATTCATCACTAATTCTAAATACTGAAAAACTGCCACTGTGAAACTTATAGTTTCCTCAGTGCTGTTTTAGTGACTTCCCAGTTCCACTGTCAGCATCACCATGTCTTACAGTTCACCTGATGATTTCTAGTTCTTGTTTTAGAACAGGGAACAGTATACACTTCATAGAGTCAAAATCTCTCAATTCATTACTCATACTAAAATTTCTTCTATCTAGTCAGTATGCGAGGTTAAGATGCATTAACTCAAAAAAATTTTTACCTTTTCTCAAGATTTTTGTTTTTCCTTTTCTCTTCCTCTTTTTTGTTTTTGAAGAAGCATCAAAATAATTACTGTGATTGGAATTTGTTTCAGATTCTGTATCAGAAGAGTCATTGAAATCAGCACCAGGTCCAGAATTAGGGCTCGCCTGAATTCTACATGGCACCAAGGTTTCTGAAACAACACTTCTCCCATCCTGTTTGTCTTCTGTTTCAGATTCTGCTGTGTCCTCCAAATCACTTAAGACTTTTGCTTTTTTTATAGGTGCAACAAGGTGCAGACCAAACAATTTTCTGGCATTCCACCTATCTGATTCAGAACACCCTTCATCCTCAGAGTTGCTCACAACAAACTTATTTGCAGACACTGACTGCTCAGCTTTCTGATTGCTCCCATCCTCCGAATTATGGCTTTTGGAGTCCTCCTCTGAAAAGCCTCTTGTAGGACTCCTCATTTCGGGAGAGGGAGAAAGAGCTGTCCCTCGTAACTGTCTATGGCCATTGCTTTGCCAGGTTTTCTGTTTCATCTGTGTATCTGTCTCAGAATCTGAACTTTCATTTTCAGATTCACTAACGAATTTTCTTCGTGCAGCAGATGAAGTAGGTAGAGAAAGAACTTTCCTCTTGGTAAGCTGCTCTTCTGTTTCTTTTTCACTCTCAGACTTCAAACCTGCATCATCCTCAGACCCCTCCAGTAACATTCGCCTGGCTGCAGCTGAGGCATTTCGGTGAGGCAGTTTTCTATTTTTGCATCCAATACCAATACTTTCTGAGCTTGAAACCTCTTCTTCCACATCACTCATTAGTCTTAGCTTAGTAGCAGCCACAGTAGCACTTCTGCGTGGGATTTTTCTATGTCTCCCTGTACTATTACTCAGAGACTCGGATGTCATCACTGAAGTATTTTCAGAATCACTTTCATATAGCCTTTTCCTGACAGCTTTTCTTGTATTTCCATTCTCCTGGGGAAGTGTACCTGTGAAACAGAAGAGGGATTAAAGTCTTATGTTCAAGAGTAGTGCTTTTTCAGCCTTATCAAGTCTGGAACAGGTTCAATCCACAGACATGACAAAGTACATTCCCCCAGTAGTAGGCAGGTGGTTTTTGTTATCTGGCAAGAAAAAATATTAAGCTATATCACAGAATCACATAATGGCCTGGATTGAAAAGGACCTCAAAGACCAACTAGTTTCAACTCCCCTGCCATGGGCAGTCACCAGCCTCTAAGACCAGGATGCCCAGAGCCACATCCAACCTTTATATCATGAATTTTGGATTCATTCCAGTTTTCTGAAAACTGCTTTAAGTGCTTCTACTTTAAGAAACAAAACACTTCAAGAGATGCTCTCTCAGTAAGCTCTTGGCTTCAGCCTCCCTACCCTAAGTACTGAAGAAGTGAAATGTTCAGAAAGCAGCATTTTGAGAGCAACAGATCTACTAGTATCAAACAAATAGTATTACAACACACAACAGTTAAAAAATACTAATTACAATTAGTTTTCTAAGTATGTATGTGTATATACACACATCTGGCTCATGGGCCATCCAGAAGACGACTATTCCAATCTTACCTATTTGTTTTCTTTGAGCAGCTTGATTTCTGGTTACCCTACAATTGATGTTCTTTCTTCTGCATATACCATTGTGTAGTGGAGGTGACACAAGAGCCACAGAGCTTTCTTTGCTCTCTTCCGAGCTCTCTTCTGTAGAGGATGAAGAGGACGTAGATGAAGCTAAAGAACCTTCTACTTCACTTTCTGCTAAAAAAATTAAATCCTCAATTAGAATACTAAGCAGTTAGTTTTCACTTAGGACATGCATTTTGCTCATGCAGAAAATCTTGTTTCCTCACAACTTTATCTAACAATACACTTTTTATCATGTCTTAATCTCTAGCATATATGAAATGATAGTTCCACAAAATATACAATTCCACATTCATGAGGTATCTGGTGATAAGTTACTTTGGGACATGTTTAAGTTTCAAATAAAATAGCAACTATATTATCTGAAAACATCTCTAAGAGAAAAGCACCTTAAAAAACTTGAAATATTTGCCAAATCTCTTTTGCCAGCCAGGATTAGTATCCTTGCTCTCTGAAAGAAGCTGAAGTTTTTCCAATGTCAAGTTTAGGGAGGAAAAAAAAAAAAAGAGACAGGAAAGATTTTATGACTCTGGGAACTAAATGTAATATACATAGGTGTATATAACCTTTATTTTATATCAAATGCACCATGTTTTCCTCTCAAGTAAGAGGCATTCATTCACCACGACCACTTTCCTGTAACAGCTGCTTGAAGTGAAAAATTCTATTACTGTATTTGGTTAAAGAACATCAAGTCATAAAGGTTTGTATGTCAACTTATCATCAGTCCTACTCACTCAGCTTTGCTTTCAATCTCCATACAAAGCTGTAGAAAAGTACTGTCTGACTGCAAAATAGATACACGTGCAGACAAGACAGTTCTGCGTCAAAGTAAATTATGGTAGCAATAGATTTCTTCTTTGGAATATGGTTTCTTCATTAATGAAATTAATCAACCGCATTCTATGAGATTTTACAGCAGAATATTCTTTAGTACACAGAACTTTTTATTAGTAAGTAAAAATACATAAAGATCTGTACTGCCTGAAATGCTAAGCGCATAAAAATGTCTGAAGTTTTTACATTGTTAAAGTTTGCATTTTTAATTTAGAATACAGTTGGGAAATAGGGCAATTATAAGGGAAAAAAACCATTAGTAGGCAATGTGTAGATAAGACAAAAATGAAAACCCTCATTTGGAACAGATTTCATTGATTACCTGATGACAATGCTGAACGGTTTGTTAGTGTTGTAGATCTAGCTTTACCATTCCTTTCAAAGGATGTCAGGCATGCAGAATCAGAGGACTCTCCAGACGAACTATGGTTGTAATCGCTAGCATTTGTCTTATGGCTTGCAACACAGGCTGCTCTGCTTGAGGTAGGTTGACTAAAAGAATCTTCCTGTTCAGATTCAGTTTTTGCCTGAGACTTTAACGGTTTCTGCTTGAAATTTCTACTGAAAAGGGAAAGGCGTAGAATCAGCATAGCTTGTGAAACTACGAAAATAACAGACAGTTAAGTATTTTAAAAATAATTTTCTCTGACAGCTTAATTGATGATATACCACATGATTTTACATTTACGGAAGGCTAATTTAGTTTTATAACCTAATACGGTTTGGGACAGTTTTAACTTTGATGAAGATAAGCATTAACTGCTGTTATTAATATAATAGCCTATGCTCCTAATAAAGTTAAACAAGAAAAGGCATTATCTCCACAGAAGACAAAAGATAACACTAAATACCTTCTATACCTATGTCATCCTATTGTTGCAATCTGTTGGTAAACAAGAGCCTCAACTTCCGTTGAATTCAGTCTCTTGTTAGCTGCACATAAGTCCTAAAGTATTTGATATGCATACTAACATTATTCCATTATAAATTGAGTTCCAAGAACATGATGAAACAGCATATTTCAAAGTTTATCGTCTAAAATGCATGTTTGGAGAGAAACTCACCAATTAGATTATTCTTTAAAATACATTCTAGAGTGCTACACTCAGTCCTATTTGATCACAGTAAATTCACAATGTTCTAGATGGGAAAGAGCACGCATTATACATAAGCAATGCAGAGGCTACTAGGCAAAAGAACATCACTTATTTTTACATTTAGAACTACTCTTTTGTCAGTTTGTTGCTTACAACCCAAAGTTTTCAGATGTTTTAAAGACATATGTGTCTCATATGCTCTCCTGCGTAATAGTTTAACAACAAACACTCTCCAAGAATTCCCAAAGATTCAGTCCTGCAAAGCACCACTGAACTGTAAACAATTCACATACAGTTCTTCAGAGAGGAAAAGTGGTGTTTCAGAGGAAGATTCCTGCCTACACTGCTATGTATTTGTAACATTCATTAAACTGTTTTGCCGAAAAATATTAAGAACCCAAGAAAAACACCAAGTAAAACTTCAAGTTCATCATCAGATATGCTTACAGTGTAATCCAGCATTTATGCACAAAAGAATAAAGACAAATATGTCAGAAGGGTATTCTTGTAATTTTATTCTTAAAACTGTATTACTGTCCCTTTACTATCAGACAAGTAGGGCTGCAGAGCAGGAAAAAAGCATATGCTCAATTCCAACAATCTACCACATTTGTTTTTGTATTTTGTATTATGTTTCACTTAATCCCATGTGCAGATTAACAATTCAAGAGTAAATCACATCAACCAGAAAACAGCAGAATGCTACAGCAAGTGAAAAAAATCTAAGTTCCATTGGATTAAATTTCTTCTGCATATAGTAAGATAACTTTATATATATGCAGCAAGAACATGTTTTATTATTCTAGTCAGATTAAAAGCTCATTTTCTCACTGAATTATTTAGAACAAAGCATAAACAAAAAAAACCCCGTTCTACTCTTCAGTCTCCGTTCCACTGGCAATTTTTACACTACCACAGAACTCCTTTTAAGCACATTTATCTTACTGCAAGAGAAGTCATTCCAACAATTAGTTAGCTAGCAACTTCATAAAACAATTGTTCTGTTCTTACTAAATATGACAGTGAATATAGTCAGTTCATAATTTGTTACCTGGGGGTTTTGGTAGGATGCTGTGCTGAGCTTTGACTCTGAACTCTTCTAGTGTATCTCTGGTTTCTTCGTATCTTTTCATTCTGCTTCTGACCATTTTTGAAATCTGAAACAATTCTTCTTATTTTCTCTTCAAATAGTGCTGACAACCTCAAGGTCATACTATAAATCTAAGCAAGGAAGTAGTTTATGTTAATAACAGAACCTTCAATCCAAGACTAACTTCTCTAAAATCAGAAACTGTACAGAAAAAAAAGTAGTTTTGTACGATGTACTGTGTGCTATGTAAGACATAAGCAGACATACAAATATTTTGTTGCACTTCTCACCATTCCCACTTATCACCATCATCATTAACCAGAAATTTTATTGAAATACTGAAAAATAAGGATTTCTTCAAAATAACACCTAACTGGATTATAAGAAGTGTAAAACTCCCAAAGGTAACATCTACCTTTGATTTTTTGTTTGGAGTATAAGACTTTGCATTACTAAATATTAGTCTTATATCTTTGCAGAGTTCCATTGGAGTGTCATAATTTCCAGCTTCCAGAGTTTCTTTCACTGTACCGAAGTCCATTGGAGTGTCTATAATATGCCTGTAGTCCTAGATAAAGCATAAAAAAAAGAGCAGTTCAAGAAGTTGTTAGAGGAAAAACAATCATCTTGAATTTTATCTCTAGAATTCAACAGAAGCTAAGATTATCTTAACCACTGGCTCAAGAAACAAGTAGTTACCACAGCAGACAGCTAAGCTTCTGCTGAAACTACTTGATTTAAAACCTCTATTACGTTTTATAAAATCTTGCATATTTTCAAGATAATCTTCAGAATTTATTAAATATCATGATGTGATACAACACCACATACTTGCACATACAGTTCATCAGTTTTTTTACTCCCAATTTACTTTAGTAGCAACTACTTTGTAACAATAACACACAAGGCAACTGTATTGCTGCTAATCAAAATGAGAAAAAAAAGATCGTAGATCTGCATGTAATCCTTTCACTAATGCCTTTTACAATGAGAAACTGATCTTGTTTAATTTTAAAACAAAAAACTCCACAATTCTGTCTCTCTCTCTTCTAAAAGAGGAGATTTAGAGACTTCCAAGATATTTTCAAAACCTGAAATGAGACCCAAACTCAAGATGTGAAGATCATACAAAAAAAAGTTGCGTAATTGTTAACACATTTATATGTCTTTTTTCCCATTGGAGCTTGTTGTTTTCTTTTTTCCTAAAAGCCAAATAAAGAGCTCGAAACCAACACTGCAGCAAAGCATGCTAAATTTCACAGAAGAGAGAAATGACCTCTGAAATCAGGTAAGTTGCTGAAAAAAGTACATGATAAAGCTACAGAAGGTTTTGAGCAAAAAAATATTTTACTGATTTGGAAGAGGGACCACCAGAGCATTAAGATGCTCCAAGATGCATCAACAGAAAAAACAAAGCAGATTGGATAGAATCCATACTTCAGATGCACACACGAACCAAGTCCTATGTTCTATCTGGATGGGAAGCATCAAAGAGAAGACAGATTCCCAAAACATGCAGATGACAGCAAAGGCAATAATGCCAGCAGTGACAATGGGGTAGTAAGAAAACAATGCAAGTACAAATAAGGAGTTCATACTGACTGTGATCTGTTCGCCTGTTTTACTTTCATCCTTAAAGTTAACATTACATGCAAAACAGGTAACTCATTTAAAGTATCAAGGTGTTTGTAGATACAGCTCCACTGCTCCACAATTGTTCTGTGCTATGTTTATATTTTAGTATATCTTATCTTGATGTGGATAAGCATCAATGGTTGAGAACTGAAGCCAAGAAAAGAAGCCAAAAAAGGAACAAACAACTCCAAGAGAAATGTGGAGGTCTTGTTATACCAAATGCTAAAAGAAAAAAACAATTTTTATATCTTACAAAGTTAATGGAACAACTTACAGGATATTGGTCCAAATCAACTGGCTGCCTAAAAGGTTCAGAATCTTCACACTGGAAAATTAAGTTCACAAGCTCCATACACTGTTTTTTCCAGCAGTTTTCATCATAGCCATTTTTCATGCTTTTTCCTCTTTTCCCCCGTCCCTTGAAAAAAAGCCAAGAAAAAACATTATTGAAATAGTGCCTGAAAAACTTCATCTAACTGGAATTATTTCAGAATCACAGCATCAACCACAGAATCACAGAGGTTGGAAGAAATCTCTGGAGATCACCTAGTTCAACCCCCTGCTAAAGCAGGTTCCCTGCAGTAGGTAGCACAGGAAAGCAACCAGATGGGTTTAAAATATCTTCAGAGAAGGATATTCCACACCTCTCTGGCCAGCCTGTTCCAGTGCTCTGTCACCCTCACAGTAAAGAAGTTCTCCCTTGTGTTAGCATGGCACTTCCTGTATTCCCGTTTCTGCGTATTGCTCCTTGCTCTACTGCTGCAAACCACTGAAAAAAGTTTGCCCCCATCAACTTAACTATCATATTACAGATACTTGTAAGCATCGATAGGTTCCCATCTCAATCTTTTCTTCTCTAGGCTGAAGAGTCCCAGGTCTCAGCCTGGAGCATCTCCCTTGCAAGGAACTGCTCCTAATTATCTCTGTTGCCCTCCACTGGACTTTCTCTATGATATCCCTGTCTGGGAATCCCAGAACAGGACACAGCACTCCACATGTGGCCTCAACTAGGGCAGAGCAGAGAGGGAGGATCACCTCCCCTGATCTGCTGGCCACACTTTTTTTTCTTTTCTTTTTTTTTTTTTAATGTGCTCTGGGATATCACTGGCCTTCTCAGGCCACAAGGGCACACTGTATCAGAAAAATGCACTTCTAAACCACCATCACATGCAAAAATGCACTTCCAGGTATTGTTCTGTAACAAAACAACTAGCAGTTTTCTTTCCCTGATGTTTAGTAATAACTGACAAATCATAGGGACTTTTTTGCCTTTCAAGTTGTTGTCTTGAGGTGTTGGGTTTTTTTTTTAGTACCAAAAAGCACACAAAAATATGTCCTGCGATATCTTCTAAAGTAAGAAGTCTGAATAATATCCACTATTAAAATGTTTTAGTTTTTCTTCCTGAGCATCTCAGCTGATAATACTTTCACTTCAGTATCAGCCAGATAATTGAAAGCTGTCACACTGAACAGCATCAATATCAAAATTATGAGAAAGATTCTCCTTGACTATTACATGGAACAAGTATAGGTTAAAACAGCAATAAACTATTTATGAAAAGCATTTAGTTTCTTTTTACTGTCAAGGAAAAAAAAAATGTTTGTTACAAAACAAAGCATCAGTCCCACAGTATTTCAGTACAGCCTGCTAAACAATTTTTCCCAGCAAACTTGAATTGGGAATATATGGGAAAGATTAGCCAACTCACTTTTCTTCTTCTATATGATGTTCTCGGACGGCATTTTTCATCATCCTGCACAAAATAAAGGTTATTTATTTTTTTCCATAAATAATGTTAAAATAGTTGTGTGCTCAAATTATTATTAGACTTTATATGATGGTTGAAATAGACTTTTAATCTTATTTTTAATCTTATTTGGACAAGAAATGAGCATATCAAAAACACAATACAGTGTGTTTTGGAAAGTAAGATCCTAATGACATACCACTGCTGAAGGCTCCTACTTGAACTCCTATCCATAGTATACAGGAGAAACCCCAAATAGAAATTGCAACAGGGAGATACCCACCAGCTTTGAGAACTTCAGTGACAGAAGATCAACAGTAAATCAACTGACAAATATTAAAACTTTCTGCATTTTGCTTGCTCTGAATTTAGGGCAAAGAAATCTTTGTGATCAAGTTACTTCTGGTAAAAAGAAAAGCTTTACAACACAGAAGTACTAAGATGATGCTGAAGTGGCCAGACAGCTCAATATAATGTCTTTACTATAATATTAACCTCCAAGGGAAAGGAGTCAGTCTGCAACTTTTTGAAGCCTTGCTAAATTAGAAATTAAAATACAAAAAAGATATCAGCTTAGGCTGTTTGGGGTATGCTGTCAGTAAACATATAACACTGAACACAACAAGAACTGTTCTGCAGTGAATGGTATCTCTAGTTTTAAGGTAAATACGTGTCATTAAATCCTCATAGAAACATGTAACGCTAGTGTATGATTCATAGTTGGCTGCACAGGAATTCAAGTGTTTGCCAACTTTCAGCATTTACTACTGCCTAAGTGACAGTTTTAGCCTTAGAAATAACCAAGGATGCAGATAATCAAAAATATATAAGACAGCTATTTATACACTTTTGAAATATTTATATTACATTACTGCATATTAACATGCTTTAAAAATAATATGTCACAAAAACATAAAATTGTTCTATTTGATGGCCACAGTCACAGCACAAAGTTTTTCATTATACTTCTAAACAAGTACAGGCAATTCAAAATGTTTTCAAATAAAGCATATCCCCACATCATCCTTCACTTCCCTGATATATTCAGTCTTCTTCTCAGCTGTGTAAATATAGATAAACAAGGATCTCTATTTTAAAAAAATTGAGCAATTTTGCCATGAATGCTTGAAGGCGAATGCATTACTGTAATTACATGTATGAAAAAGCTTACCAGATCATCTGCATCAAGACAATCTTGTTCATCATCTGTTGTGCTACATAGGTCAAAAATGTTTGTACAGTCTTGATCACTGTAATGCAATTAAATCTCTTGTTACTATAATATCAAAACATAGCAATCACTTTCTAGAAAGATAAACCCAGGCACAACCAGAAGCTACAAAACTGGAAGCAAGTGAGAATAATCTGAAATAATAAACATCATAAGGTGATTATGTCACTAAAGTAATGTTAAATATGGAAATCTGCTGTATTATGCATTTTAGAACTAGTGAGCCAAGTAGGGTGAAATTAGCATTAGGAATTTGATCTACTGAAATTAGACTGCCTACACCAACTTCCAAATAAACCTCCAACTAAACTCAAGTCAGGCACGCTGCAACAAGAATTTCTGCATGGGTTTACATTACAGACTGATATACTTTCAAGTGACATCTTCATACTGTACACACCAGTAAAAAAATCAAATCTCTATAGCAACATACATTTCAGTATTTTCCCAGTTAAGATAATACTTGTGAAGAATTACATATCTGTCCTGCAGTGCACTGAAAAATATTAATAAATCAAAAGAACTGAATTCTTAATAAAAGGATCTTACAAGTGTTTATGTTCCCCCCCAGTTTTAGAGCACAAGCATTCAAGCACTATGTAAGGTAAAATGCCACTCACTTAATAAACTTCAAGAGCTGCGTAGTGATCTTCTTTGCAGCTCTAGCAATAGCACTCCCAGGTTCATTGAAGGTCCTGGCATTGCTTTCGATGTATCTTACTTCCCAAACCAATGCAGAGATTCTCCTTAAAATTAAAAAACATTGCACCCTTTAATAGTAAGCTGAAAAACTACAAAAACTCCTTTGTTAATTATCTGTCCTAATCTAATGTGGATAAACATCCCTTACTTTAATATTCATTACACCTGTCTCCAAGTTTTCACTCACCAAAGTGTGTTCACATACACACATACTTCACACAGAAGCAATTCAAGAAAGCAAAATCAACAGTGCACATCTTTGTTAATTCATTTTCCTATTCGTTATTGACAAGAAATCCACAGCAAGTTTGCAAAGTTCTGTAAAGCTTTGGTTTCTTTTTTAAAATTGTTAATTCAACTAGCCTAGTAACTGCCAGCATTTAATACCACTGAATTATGAAATTCCACTGAAATAATGGAACTGAGGATAACAAATTCCAAAGATTCCTTAAAAATCCATGCATTTTTAAAAGGCTATCTTTACCACCTCTGTGGAAAAGTCCTGTCAAATGGTGTAAACTGTGTACTATACTAATAATTCTTAAGAATAAAAACAAGACATAAGCAATATAAAAAAAAGCAACAAGTCTGGTCTAAACACATTTTCATGTGTTTCATGCCATGATTTCTGCAAAATACCTTGCTCTGAGATCAACTCACCAGTCATACATCCCCTCCCTCTGTAAAGAAGAGATTTGTAGAAACTGCTACAAACTAACATTACAGAAGTGAGCTAGCACAATTACACAGCTTTTTTGTCATTAAATTTATAAAGAATTATGACAGCCATACTCCAGGTTTTCAGTTCCTCATCTACAGAATTTCAAATCATTTCCCAAGACATCATTTCAGTCTCACCGAGGAAGAAAACACGTATTGACATCTCTTCATTTTATTTACAGACATGCTGAGCACAAGTCCAGATGATCAACATCCTTAAATTTCTGTTAGAGGTATGGATACACTGCACATCAGAACTTATCAACCCTACATTTAAGTATGTCAGCGTTAACTCTGGAAACTGTATCAATTTAGGCTGAAATCAATTTCCTTAAGAACTAAGAAACTTAAAAATTAATGTTGCTACAAAACACATACTGAATTCAGGTACTAGACTATTGGTTTTCAGAATATTTATAAAAAAAGACCAAAAAATGGTTAGATCTTCTCACAGTGTACAAACATAAGGCCATGTTCCATCTTGTTTCTGCTGCTAGTACTAACCTGTAAAATCGGTTGGCCAGTCTTGTTCGAATAGTGTTCAGGTCTGTTGGGTAAGCAATCACGGTACAGTACTTGGGATATGTACACAGGTCAACTGGACCAGCAAAAGCTGCTGAAATGTCTGTTAAGAAACAGCAAAATTAATGGGACTATTTACAGACATATGTGTATGAAAACTGAATCAGCCATTTAATTGCTTTGTAAAACCACCCTTGATAAAACCAACAATGTACCAAAATATAAACATCCGAGTACAAACACAGTGAGAGAACTGCCTGTAAATCTAACTCTAGGAGCAAACTGCCTAAAACTGAGAGGACATTCTCACCAAGAGTCAGAAGTTGGTCGATACCACTAATAATCCGCTCACAAGCTTCATCACGGGATCGCATCCCCCACTCCCCTTCTTCAGGTTTGTACAGTAGCTTCTCCATTTCTTCAAAAGTCACAGAAACACTAGCTCCTAATTCTTCAGGCTGATCAACTGAAGAGTGATAACAAAAAGGAAAGCGTGAGTAGTGAGAACACAATAAGAGAAACTGTTAAATATTTAAAACCATACGAGTATTTAGTAAGCGTATCTGAGAAAAACATACTTTGCCTTGAGTTTGATATTAAGAGCATAGGGAAAATACATAAAACAACAACCAAAAGGTATCCTTTACTCTCCTTTTCTGCAATTCTGAAGTTCCAGAATCTTCATTTATTCTCTCAAGCACTAGTCTGAAAAGATGACCTCACTCAGAAGAGTTACTTGCACACTTTTGTTTTAAATGCGTGTTTCAGACTTCATAGGAACCTAACTTAGTTCATTGAGTTTATTTATTACTTCAACCATTAAACACATGTAAGACAGGCAGTATATTTTGCGATGTCCTTCTTGGTATACTAACTGTAACCTTAATAGCATTTTTTTTAATATTTCTTTTGAACATGACAGATTAAATTAATTTCAAAACAATAAAAAGTAGCAGACATATACAACTGTGATGGATGGCTCCATGGAAAGTCATATTTAGGAAGATTAATGCAATCCAGCTAACACAGAGCAACAGAGTAAACAGAACATATTACACCTCTAGGTACTCTTCCCCTCAACTGTACAGACTGTTTTTAATAGATTTTCAGTCTGTTTCTGGATTTTTTTTTTTCCCAGAAGCTAACATCTTCATTCAGTATGAGCACTTGAAAAGGAACAAGATCATGAAGGTTCCTGACTGCACAGTGTGTAAGATCTTCAGTCCATCTTTGTGTTGAACAGGACAACTGGAAGAGCAGATAAAATTCAGCAATATGAAGCATAAAGGCTTATAGCTAGAAACCAGAAATAAGAGCTTCCATTAGCATCTGAGAGTCTCTCAGTTAAAAATAAAAACAAGAAAGATAAGATCATTGCTAGCATGCTGATGACTGTAATCCACAGATATGCCACAGACAATTCTAAAACACAGTTCAGCTGCAGCTGTTGCAGAGACAAAAAAAATAAAAGGAAAGCAATTGAACGAGTTTAGTATGGGTCTTCAAAGTCTACAAAATGGACTAATTTTTTCCTTTGGCCTAACAGGTAATGATAGCCCAAAATCTTTATTCATTATTGCATTCACAGTGCTGTTTATGGAATGCATTATCCAGATCACGAGGAATTAGAAGAAAATGTGCCATATGTTTGAAGGAGGCAGATTTTGGCAGTAAGAAAATAGTATTTCAATCAATCCTAGGAGGAAAAAACCAAAACCAATCCTGCTGACTGAAATCTTTATACATTTTAATTTGCATAAAACAGGTGATTTCATGTTTCCATTTCAGACTGTTTTGCAGCATTTGTTATCACAAGATATGACTGAAGCAGCCAGATCACACTTGGAAGATTAGAAAGTAAGTTTAATATTGAGAACATCCATGTGTGTGCAACATAACAGTATTTAGAGGAAAAAACACTATATACACAATAGACTACACACACACACAAACACACACAGCATAAATTTTTCTGGGATTTAGGAAATAGCTTATTTTCTAGGAAAAGCGAATAGGAAAATTAATATGTTATTCAGTGACTACTTTGTCCTCCCTTCCTGCTGCTGGTATCAACAAGCATTGGAAAACTGAACTGAGAAAGACAAATCAGGAATACAGTTACTTCATTTACAATTAATTTGAGTTTCACCAATAAACCTATACAAACAGCTTTTTTAAAGTATAAACAGTAAAGATTTACTGGCTGGAAAACTTATTTATATTCATTCCAATTCTTATACCGTACCATAACACAAACTAGTTTTTATTTGAAAGTTGCTGTGTCAAGTTGCTGGAAGTCAAGATTTGACTTCCAGCAGTAGCAAGTTTTATTGTATATGCCAGAGAGATCCACATTGCAAGTATTTCCTTCAAAACTATTCTGGAAGATGGAAAGTTTCAGGGTGAAGAAGTAAAATCTAGATATATCGAAGACATTTCACTAACACTGAAGTGAGACTATCCTGCAAGAATCATTTTAGGTGCACTACTTGCATGTAACAAAGGATCCATAAAGAGGGAGAAGCACATCAACTGTTCTGTTCAGGGAGTTTCTACTTACCATTATCAGATATTGGTTCCATGTCCCATGGACTAAGCTTCTCAACCTCACCATTGTCCCATCTGATTCACCAAGTTAAAAAGAAAATAGAAACACACAAGTTAACATTAACCTTAAGTTGAAAGCATTTCTTCCAAGCATATTTAAAGAAACTCTCCATCACTGCTATTTTTAGACCTCAGTAAAATATACTGTATTAATGTATATAAACAAAATTATTGGTTAGCAATCAACTGTCAACACTGCAAAAAAGGAAACATGATTTAAAATGAATTCCAAATTAAAATTGATTTGTACTCTCGGCCATATGCAACTTACCCAATATTAAAATCAATATTACAATGATCAGATCAAGAAGCTGCTTAAGAAAAATAAGCCAGACACTTGGAAAAACAAAGTAACATAATCAAAGGGAAGATAGCAGAAAAACAAGGAGAAGCAGGCTTTTTTCCCCCAACCACAACAATAGAACAACTCAGGGACAGGAAGAATAAAAACTGAGTTATATGGCATATTAACTTTTCATGAATTAAGGCCTACCATATTAAGACAAAGAGAAGAATAAAATGTAGAAACTAAAGTAACAGGAAGCAAAAGCAAACAGAGCTGACATTAACAGAGTACCTGCATATTCACCAGTATTTCACTACCTGATAGGAACATTCCCACATGCTTTTATTAACAGCAGAACTACCAACAAATTTTAGTATTTCAAATATAAGAAATGTACTTCTGGATCAGCCTAATACCCTACTGGTTCAGCTAGACTAATAATTTCTCTGTTTGAAACTATCAGTAGGAGGCCATATAATCCTGATATAAAACCATTGTACTCATTCAACATTCACGATAACTAAATTCCTCCGGGCATTTAGTGAACACATCCCAGATTATTTCCTTCGGCATCTGTTTTCATTTAACATTCTTATGATTCTGCTAATATTGCCTGGTTCTGTCAGGACCTCAATCGTTCTTTTGCTCCCTCTACTTCAGCTAATTTTCAACACACAGAAGTATTTGCTCCAATGCAGTGTTATCTTAGTTAACATCTTTTGAAGAGAAATTCTTTCAAGGGCTTCTTTTAAAAAACAAGAACTGCAGTCAAGTACATCAGTCTGCAGTTCACCAATTTCCCTCCAAACCATCCAACTGTAGCACAGGTTGCAACTTCACCAGAAGTTTCAAATTAGAGTTCCTAAAATGCCTGGTTTCCATGCTGAACATGGCAGAGCTTCGTAATAAAACTGCCCAGCAAGATCAAAGCAAGCTAATCATTGCAGTCCCTTTCCCATAAACACCACAAACCCCAGAACCAGAGACCGAGGGGAAAAAAAACATTTGGCTGGCAGACTAGGAATGCATTTGACAGAGACCTGGAATTTTTATCAAGTTCAGAACAGGAAGCCTTGAATCATTTACTGACATCTCATGTATTGCTAGCGTGACTTCATTTCCAAGGACTATAAAAAAACATCGCATTAACAGCTCAACACTGAAAAAAGCTTTGCACAAGTTCAGGGTGACTGTCAGCAAGACTCTCTGATCTTTCTTAGTACTGACTGCTTCCTGGTAAAGGTACAGGTTAGGGAGCTCACAGATCTAATACAGAACCAGAACTTCTCCAGCATTTTCTGCTTGACACAAGATGCCATCTCTAAAAGATAGAAATAGGGGCAGGCACTCTGAACTGCAACAGTAATGCAAAAGCTGTTCTTTAGAAGGCTAACACCTCCCTAAGCTTCTTACCAGCCCAAGATAAGCATCTGACTCAAGTCAAAATGAAGCAGAAATTCCTCTACCAGAACAGAAATCTTAGTACCAGAACGGAAACCTTACTACTTACTTCTACAGGAAGCATCTCCTTTGGAAGAATGATGTTTTAATGAGAAGTATTTACTGCCATACGTGATGGAAGAGAGTTCAGAATGGACACAAAACTGAAGACAACTAGCAGGTTTGCAGTTCCCAGGAAGCGGGTGCATGCCTTAGTCCAACTACTATGTTCCAAGTTTGACACTGAAATTCCTGGCCTTTTCTACTGAAGCAGGCTTTTTCCCCCTGCTGCATTACCCTTGGATTTGCTCAACCTTGCCACATTGTGAACAGTGAAATTGAGAATACATGCCTTCACCTATGCAGTATTATCTCCTGACAAGCATGCTAGTCAAAGGGATTTGTCTGTCTGAGGTAGCACAAGGTTAGTTACGCCATCTGCAGCTATCTTGCTAAATATAACCCAAAGATGAAATGCAGGACAATCTGTAAGCAGAACCTACACAGTAGCAAGCATAGCTAAATACTAGTAGGCAACAGACTTGTTCTGTCTTCACATCCACACAACAAGCATGAGGATATAGCTAGACTTAGAAACATAATTTACACAAGGCTCAAGTGACTGCATACAATCACATTATAGTTATATTTGCTCTTGTGGATTGTAATGTGAAAGACAGAAGTGTGAGAAATTTAAGTGTAAGAATTATGATCTCAACAACAAAAAAGATTCAGCATGCCCCATTCAAAACCAATTATGACTAAAGACTAATAATTTATATACATGGGAAATTGCATTGCTTGGTTTTTTTGCATGGAAGAGATTAAGCAGTAGTTGTTAGAGAAGATGACACAATCAAAGTAGTCAAGAACTTATTATATCATGTTATCCTTCATTAAAAAGTTGCTTAAAATTATTACATATTCACACTGTGCTAGATTAGACACCATTGAGAAGTGATAACACAGCCAGTAAAATCATTTCAACAACTTATACGTTCTTATACCAAGAGGCTAGCTAAGTAAAAGGCAATTCACACTACTAACATTAGAAGTGTAAAATCCTTTTATACTTACTTAACACTGTAACACTGAAAGTGACTATCTGGATATTGAGGCTGATATGGTTCTTGACCCAACACTGTTCCAAACCACCATGCATCATCAATAATGGATCGGAACCTGTCAGCTAGAGGAAAAAAAATTCTGCTCGCGTATTTTACTAACAAGAGTTATTTAACTATGCTTCTTCTGTATGTCATTAACACATTTCTGATCAGCAGATTTCAGCTTATAGATCTAAAAATACTATACTCAGGTAAAAGATGAGACAACAGATTATGCCAAGAAGTGCTAAATCTTTTTGCTACTTAACTATAAAGCAAGAAAAGACAACACCAGAATCTGATTTTGTGTTTTGAAGACTGTTATCTTTGAGCTATGGTAGACCCTCTAAAATGCTTACTACTGCTTCTAGTGGTTTCAAATTTCAAACAGGCAGACCAACCGTATCTAAGAGAGCCCTTTGAAATTACAAGCAAACAGCACCTAAAACCTCCAGTAATGATACATTTCTTATTTCAAAAGCATTCTACCAAATATGTAGAAAATACACTTACAAGCTTGCCAGTTCCTTTGCCGTGCTTCATCATAGAACTGACGTAATATAAGGAAGTCAATAACATCTGGCATATCATGGTATCTAGATCAAGAAAAATACCCTTTCAGGTATGTACCTTAGGGTTTTAGGAAGAAGCTTAAACAAATACATTTTTCAGAACTTTTCAAGAAAATATAGATGCACATACTTGATGGAAAATGATTTGTCAGTATGTTTTCCGGTGGCGTGATCTATAAAGGCAAGCTTGAGGCAACACAATGTGGGAGGACCAACCTCGTACCTAATTCCGACAATTTTTACCAACTCCTGATCCTATAGGTAAGAACAAACAGTTTCAGAAAGTATTCCCAACTCGACTATGCACAGAACTATTAGTTTAATAACAGTTAACTGAACACTGTATTAAGTAATATTATATTATATCCACATACAAGATAACAACAATACTGGAACCATATTTGAGATTTCAGTGGAAGACAGCCTGTTAGACTTGGCGAGATGAAGACAGCTATTTGCATACAGGATCCCCACAGTAAACTTCAAAACTATCCTGATAAGTGAACACAGTTTTCCCCTCTTCTTTTTATACAAAAGCATTAAGGAAAGTGGCATAACCTCAGAAATTAATATTTTAAAACTAGTGCGGCACACAACCCTTATTTACAGATTACTAGTGTTGAAATCCAGACCACGTGCAATGCAGACCTACCCTAAGCACTACTTTTCTCCAAGGCTCCTTGTGTGGATTCAGTTCATAAATGTTATTTCTTCTAACTGCTTCAATGTAAGCTTCATGTCCTTGTCGAAAATATATTACCTTAAAATAAAAATAAAATATAAAAATACCCAAAAAGTAAACGTTATAGAAATATGTAAGTAGAACCAGCATTTGAAGGAGATTTTTAACAAATGTTCTTACCTCATCACCCATCTGAGGAACAAACGGAGATCTTCGAAGAGCTGTGTCTGTTATCCAAACAGGAGGATGCCAATCATACGACAGTTCTGAATTTACTGTTTGCGTTGGTGTATTAGCCTGTACATTCAGTAGACATCAAAAGTAGACGTGACAGACATATTGCTGACATGACATCAAAACAACAATCTGGCAGACAAAAGCTTAGGTTATGAAAGACTAACGTACATTTCCAAAACCTGCTAGCTGAATTCCTTCAAGGCTTTCCTCAAATTGTATTTGCAGTACTCATGTTAAGCATTTTGTTCCTACTTGAAGGCCTAAGTGAGCAAGATAACTATTTTACAACTCTCAAGAGAATCAAAGCCTTATAGTTCAGATGGAATCCTCAGTGCCCAATAAAAATCTTACAAAGATTTCCATCTGGAGATGGAAAGTTGAGAGTGATTAGAGAGTTATTTAAGGTTTTGGCTTTCTTACCCAAATAATTTATGGTTATGTATATCAAATTATATACTTGTCAACAAACATCCTCAATTAATTCCACTCTGGAGACAGATTAAGTTAACCCTGCTTGTCAAGCTTACCATAAAAGAGAGAGAAAACAAAATTCTAATATCAGAAGTGGCTGCATGATTAAATAAATCAACTACTTGTTCAGTAAATATACATATTGAAAGAGTTTCAAATAATTTATATAAATTTTTGGAATCAAGTGAGAGGATGAAGAGAAAATGGCCACAAAAATTCTGGTAACTCAAAAAATAACTTAAAAACATAAGTATATAAAAGGTAATTATTACCTTCTACAAAAATGACAAAATTCAACCCAAGTAGAAACACTTTACTGTTATAAATACAGTAACAATATCTCCCAAGTTTCTCAAACAATATAGTAATTAAAACCAGACTGCATTACAGGGTTTTTGTCTGTTATTCTGTACAATTATTTAATAATCATGTTTCCCCTCTTCAACATTTTTCTGAACACGTTTTATTTTAAACGAAAAAAGGATTTCATTTGGAGTCTAGATAAATCAGTGGATATCTTGGACGTGAAATGATCTCAAATTCTCAAAGGCAGCCTGTATGTAGAGGTAATAATATCAGTGTCCAACTGCAATAGCCACTACTTCAAGAGTTTCCAGTGAAGAGGTCTAAAACCTGAAGTGAGCAATCTAGTAGAAGGTGAATAGAATAAATGAATTGCATACCCCCTCCTGCTTTTTCGGTCTGGGCTTTTTTCTCCTTTTTCTTCTCCTTCGCTTTGGAGGAGATGATTTCCCTGCTGACACTTCATCTTCTGAGGTACTGCAGTACCTGACAGCTTTCCGTCGAGAGGTCCGGACAGGAGGCTGCAGGTTAATCCCTGCATCAGCAATCCAGTCAGAGTACCTACTTGAAGAATCACTGACCACAACGAGTATGTCACAGGGAATACAAATACAGAATTGAGTTGTCAGTATTTTAAGAGTGGTATATTCTTAGACAAACACCTCCTGATATAGATTATAATGGAAAGCAGTATCATAAGAACTAAAACTATCTTTTTTCCCCCCAATAGTTACTCGATATTATATGTAATTTTCTGGAAAGACAGTAGTTTCCAAAGAAAAGTTGTCTGGTGAATTCTAAAGTTCACAACGTTTTTGAATAAAAGCCATCCCTAACAAAACAGTCAAGCGTTAACTGAATTCTTTAAAAACAGTTCTACAAGTCTCACAGGTTCAACTTGCTTTTGGATATTCATACTTTTCACTTCTGCTATTAGAGAATTCTAGAAAGAATATTTAGGAAGTCACATTAAGATCAGTTAAAAAAAAAATACATCTGTAACTTCTGTTCTCAATAAAATTATAAAGTTACTCATCAAAAGTAAGATTTTGTTGTTGTTTTCAACCAATCATAATCTTAAGAGCAAGCAACTGACAGTTGCTAGGTTCTCAAAAAATGAATAAATGAAATCTAATTTTTTTTTTTAAAGCCAGCTAGCAAAAAAATCCAACAAGCGAAAGGATTAGAAACTACATTAAGAGAGAAAAACCATTTTGTGACAGTAAATAACGATGCAATGAGACACTGCCATATAGTCACAACAAACCAGTATTACATATGAATCACACTAGAACTTCCATACATCTTTAACCTGCCAAAGCCAAACTGAAACTCAAAAGTAAAGGCAGGGAGTTGTTTGCTTTTACCTAGAGCTAAAAGTGTTGCTTTTCCTATCACTTCTCCACTCTTCCTCCTCTTCAGATGAGCCAGAGCCCTCACTTTCTTCAGCTTCCTGAATTGAAAAATAAACAGAGAGTCAAACTAAAACTTCCTCACAACACTTTTTATTGGTCCTAAACATAAAACACATTCTCCACTCACAATCTAACCTGCATGGTTAGGAAGAAATCTGGTAAAATGGAATTCAAAGAAGTAATTTCCTGTCACCTCCTTTACTTCAACTAAGCACGTTAACCTCAGGACTGCACTATTAATCACTAACTCCTAGACATTCGCTCATATTTTACTAGCCAAGCGTGGCTCTACCAGCTGTAGCCAGTCTGCACAAAGCAACACATCCTCCTACCACATGGCAACACAATTGTTTTCTTGTTGTTGTTGTTGTTGTTTTTTTAACTAATTTAAGTTCACATTGTTTATCAGAATTAGCTGGCTGAGTTCCACTGTGTTGAATTGCAGACTGATGATGCTGTCATTAGAGCATGTACAACTTACAATAAAATCTGGACACCTAGAACGCAATGGAAGAATTCAATGATTGCAAAAGGAACAAGTCAAGAAAAGCTATTGGGTCTTTCATCCACACAGAACATAGGTATATTCAGTTACAGGAGTAGCATTTCTGTAATATTTTTTTTTATTACTATTATTTGCAAGTTAGAATCAGGTGATTCTTTCTGAAAACTTTCTGATTTTAATATTAAGTGATTGCACAGTACTAATTAGGCATATATTTAAATGCAGAACTAAGAAATCCAGGTATATCAAAATATATTACAATACAAGCAATTTCCTGCTGTTAAACATCTATATTAACTTCATGTTAAGAATTGTTTTCTTCAACTGCAGTGACTAAATATAATGCATGATATGTCCCAAGTTGTATACTGCCAAACAACAACCAAAAACAGTTTGACTTGCACTTTCAAGTTTAATACTGCCTGAATTAGTCCAACTGATAACATCCGTCAGTCCGTCAGAGCAAGTTTCCCCATTAAGAGCAATACTTTTCACATACACAGATGATCTCTTTCATCCTACAAGTATTTGAATTAAACACCCACGACCTATTTTCCCACATTTATCAAAACTCATTTTTGTATTATTTGTTTCTTTATACTTTCATAATAAAAGATTCCAAAACTTGATTTCTGTGGTTACTCTGCCATAAGTAATTTGCCTAGTAACGTTACAAATTGGGAAACAAAAAGCACTGAAAGCTAGATATCAGAAGCTTCACTTCAGAAACATTTAAGTTTATGTGGCATTTACTGGACATGTGCACATAGCTCACTTATTGCTGCCTGAGTGCTTGAAATTCGTCAGGTGACATACGTCTCCTGTCAGCTCCCTTTGCACTCTGCTACCAAAATAAGAAAAACTTGAACTTTTTATTGAAGTGTTTATTATTCTTCTAACAAGACAAGAGCCTTTTTTCAGAGAAAAATCATCCTCCAGGAGCATTATCTTAGCTCCTGTATATCTCCTTTCACCATTCATTAACAAAACAAGAGACTGGTCCAACAAGTTTGACTTTGTCAATTCCTTTCCCCTTTTGAAACTATTTCCTTGTGTGCAAAGCAAATCAACTTTTGGTGTACACACAGATTTCAAAAGGTTTTTGCAGAGTTAAAGAAAAAAAAACATCCAAAATCAAAATCTCACTTTAAGTCAATCTCAAAAATATATCAGGGTTTTGCCTGTCTGTGGATTTGATTAAGATTCTCAACAAACACATTTAGGAATGTCTAAACTGACAGGATAGGTTATCATTATCAAGGCAACAAATAATGATGTTTGAGAAGTACCACAGTTTCTGTAAGCATTACTGTTGTTACTGTAAATGCTTTTCCTGGTAGAAGAGGGGGTTTTGTTTTAAGAAAGAAGTTACAATGCTATGAAACTCCACTTAAGGAACTTAAATTCAGAATACTGAAACCAAGAGCACTTACCTGCTCTATCAAACCAAAGCAGTCATCTCTCTCCTCATCAGAAGAATCAAGCTGTTCAATGTTGTTCCGTGTTCGATAATTCGGGTATTTCCGTCTATGCAGCCTACGTTTAGACTGTATTACCGAAGACTCAGAGTCACTCTAATTTATTTAGGAAGAACAAAGAATCGTTACACAGGAATGTGTCATGGCAAACATTTTTATGAGGCTCAAAAGGGTATCTAAAAGCACTGACGAATGCAACAGTTGAAATGGTCTCATTGCATCACAGGCTTTTCTTGTCACAATTCCTTTTCCCAATAAACAATTTTACTGTAAGCCATTAAATTTCCAGTTCCCAATCTGCAGTTTAATTAAATTGTACCTTACTAATGCAAGCAACAAGCCAATTCATATCACACGTATTTACAGAATCAAGAACAGAAATCCTCGCCTCCTCCCAATTAAGGGAATCATACAGTATAGTTCTTGCCTCAAGTTGTTCATCAAGCTGTCTTGTACTGCAAAATATAGTGAATTAGGCCACAACCTTACAAAACTAGTCCAGTATCTATCTTTCCTTCTTACTGACCACCTCCAAAAAGCTGACAATGAAAGAAGTGTTCAAAGTATAGCAATTGTGGAAGAAGTTTATCATACACAAAACGTTGTTATCTAAAGCAAAAAAAAGCACAGAACACCACAGCCGGTAATTCTTCAAATTTCAGATCTTGAACACTCTCACTTGCACCTCCTCAATGCTTTATCATCAACCTGCACAACTGCCTTTCAGCTCTTAACTGCGGTAAAGCCAAAATGGCATGAAAACAACCCTATATATTCTACTAAATACCCTAGATGGAAAGAGGCAAAACTGAAATTAAAAAAAATAAAAATGAAATCCAGGTGTTGACAGAAGTAAAACAAACTCTGTCCTGCAATAAGTCAAAGCTCAATCACCAGGAACCTTTGAATACCAAACCTTCAGAAACGTCTGCTTTCTTTGTTTAAAGCACGACTTCTCCCAAAACTATGCAGAACACCAGTTTTCCTAGAAGTTGCTGCATACCTTTTCTGATGACTGGAATGACTTCCTTCTCTTCTCTGACTGGTAAAGATCTCTCTCTTCTTCCCCTTTTGCAATTCGATATTTTTCCTGCTTCCTACAAGGAAGTCATGAAAGTGTAATGCTTCATCTCTTTCAACAATACTGAATCAAACAATCCATTCTATTAAAAAAAAAAAACTATGTAAAAAGCCCTAGCATCTACTTCTATTTCATTAATTCCAGACTTGTATTATTGTTCAAATGCCTACAACAGAATTCCTCTGACTTCCAGATAAAGTAAAAAAGTTGAATATCACAAGACTTCCACAAAAATATCAGAATGTAACAAACTGCTTCAACTCCATTTTCAATTTACATTCTTCCCTTTGCAATCATTCTACATCCAAGTATTTAACAAAGCTGAAAGTCTTTCAAAAACTTCTTCAGAGATGTGGCAGTATATATGGCTGTATCATTAAAAAAATATGTATATTATTTCTCCTTTTCACAGTTGCATACTGATAGTACTTTTCAAAGCAAGCTAATTACTTCTGCAGTGAAGAACTTCTGCTGTTCTGAAGTTTACAATACAAATCTTGCCGTGAATGTATCAAGCATTCAGTTTGTTTCTGGTCTTAACACACTGCCCTCCTAGTGTGCCCTCACAGAAGCTTATTTTCTCCAAACTCTTCCACATATGCAAACTTCACCTGCACCTCCCTTTCTTTTGGAAAAAGCAAGAACCTCAGATATTTGTCTTTTAAGAGAACTCAAAGTACTGAAATAAAATATGGGAGAATCATTCTTTATAAAACTAATTTTCCATTCATCTCATTGAATGGAGTTTACAATTAAAAGCTTTAAGCACAGCTGTCCATTCAATTATTTCAATTCATACCACAACCTATTTTAGATAGCAGTACTCAATTTAGAAGTAAGAGAATGACACATTCTCTCTAGTTTTGTCTGCAGCCAAGTCAGCTGTTTCCAGACCTGAGTAGGCTTGGTGGTATTTCTGGTACAACAACTCTTCGTCTCCAGGCCTGAAGGTCTCGCTCTGTAGCCATCTGACTTCGTGGAGCATTCTGATGCATCTGCCGCACACCTTCAACTTGCCCACTACGGCGCAGACCGATATTGGGAGGAGACTGGATGTCTAAACTCGGTCTTCTAAACACTAAAACATACAAATAAAAGCATTTATTTTGGGCTACACAGAATTAAAATCTTGCTCTTCTCATGAGAGATAAGAAAATTCCTAACACTTTCCCTATTTTTTTTAATCTCTGTGATCATTATGTAGAAATCTAGGGATCACTTTCAGGAATTTGTCTTGTAGGAAATACAGTGATAAAACACACATGCTTTTTAGACGGCCATTTATACTATCACTTTAATACAGCGAAAGCAAGTATAACGTTAACAGCTGTTTTTCAGGCAGTTCCGAGTTTCTGAAAAGCAGTTTCCCTGGAACTGACTGCATATAATTGAAACTACAGGCATGTACTGTAAGAGAATCCAGTTTAAATCTACAAAGACGGAAGAAGGGACTCCAGTATGGTAAAATGTTCATCCTGAAAACCTTACAGAAGAATTAGTGTAGATCCTGTAAATGTCATATATTGCTAAAAACAAAACACTCTACAATAATTATAGTTAATGCTCTTGAACAGTGGTGAAAGGCTTTGTTTCATAATTTAATCACAGGAACAACAATGCTTTAGTGAAGAAAAGAAAACCTTGACCAGACAGAATTACACAAAGGGAAGTTTAGCCCCAAAATAACATCCAATTTAAAATCTGTTGGAAATAGAATGAATGAAGTTCAACTGGAAGGGATCTTTAAAGATCAAGTTCAACTACCTGACCCTTCAGAAGTAACCAAAAGTTGAAGTACACAACTGAGGGCATCATCCAAATGATTCTTGAACATTCACAGGCATGAGTCATCAACCATCTTGCTAGAAAGCCCATCCCTGTGTTTGGCACCTCCACAGTACAGAAATCTTTCCTGTTGTTCACTGTGAACCCCCTAAATAAGCTCTGTGTTGTTCTTGCTTACATTGGTGACCCCAAAGGGCCCGCCACTTCCCCCTCCACTTCCACTCCTCACAGAGTTGCAGTGAGGCTGCATCCTCAGCCTCTAAGTACTAACCTCTTCTAGGTGTTCCTTCTCCATTCTGCAGACCACTCGAAGCAGGTTCTTGATCTGCTGCTGCATTTCTTTGATCTTGCTGTAGTTGTAATTGTCTAATCATACCATCAAGAATGCTGGGCTCCATACCTTGTTCATCCTGATCAACTGTCTGTTGGCCTATAACTTGTTCAACCACTTCTCCATCACCTTGCAAATGTAACAGAATGACAAACATGAATGGGATAATTAACTTAATATAGCAAATGATTTAATCTCTTTGTACATCTCTACTGTACATCACAGTACGACATGTTCTTGTTGTAGTCAGTTGCAGAACAACTCTGGAAATTATTCAAGTTACCTACTCCAAGTGAGACATTTATGGAGTCTAAAACTCAAGCACAGTTAATGTATGTCAGACCCAGAAAAAAAAAAAAAAGACATCTACATGCGTCACAGAATTTTCTTTTTTTTCTTTTTTGAAGTAGTATTCACTGTGGGACACTTCAGCATCCTTGAAGAACACAAACACATATGATAGTTGCTAGCATGCAAGAAAACCATGTCAGTTTTATACCACCTATGTCCTATCTACTCTGTCTCAAATCAGAATTACTACAGCACAGATAAATTCTGGATATAGATTTTTAGCAAGACCATTCTTACTCGTTGCTACATATCCAAGTTGAGGAATCAAATGTTCATCTGCAGAATTCTCTCTTCCTGGAACCAATCTTTGATATTTTGTTGGATGAGGGTTTCCATCCACATCTACTAAGAAGGGAGGGGGCATGAGATGAGGAGCCTGTTGAGTCTGTTCATCTAGGACATAATTGTTGGAGTCTCGAATAAGAGGTCGATAGTCAGTGTGGAAGAACATCTGATCAGGAATCTAGAAGGAAATGAAAGTTTTGTTGTAAATTTTGAAGGAAAAACATGAAAATCTGCCAGAAAACACAAAAGAACAACCAATACTAATTGAAATATTCCAAAACCACCTTAAAAGGTGAAAGAAAAGGCAAGTTCCCAGTGAGAAGAGTTATGTACAACTACTATAACCAGTACATGTTGCAGTGCTTCCATTTTTGAGATCATTTTTCCAAGCAGCAAAAACAAATATAGAAAACAATGTTGTTCTACACTTAACATTCAAAATGTTTTCCATCCCATTATTTTTTTTTCCACAAAGCCAAGAAAAGTTTCCTTGGTTTCCATGCAAGCAAATCATTGTCCCAAGTTCAATCTTAGTTCTCAAAGAGAAGTTCTTCCTTAATCATGCAGCATCCACCTGAAAAGTTTTCTATAACTTAAACAGTCCATTAAGTCCACACAGCTGAAGTAACACAGTTACACAGGTAATTTTGTAATAGTCAGAATCTTTGTTCTCAGCAATGATAAGCAAGATGAACAGAATTAAGTTTCAATTTCAGTTAGAATGTACAGCAGGAAAAAAAAACCACCTTTGAAGTGACAAACACGGAATTACCATTGCAACTTTCAAAATATTGAGGGAGAACTGAAGAAAAGCATAAGCCAAATCACATTTTTGAGAGCTATTTCAAGAAAACAGAAACACATGTATTTATCAAAACAAAAAAGGTATTGGCTGATACATTAAAAAAATGGAACACTGAATCCTATGCACATTTTCCTAACATTTCAGAGTCAGCAGTATTGGCTGCTCATTTACTTGTGCTTATTTTAAACAATCTGCTATACTGAATTTGGATTTGAATAACTCAAGGTCTAAAGAATCCAAAGTTCTAATAATGAAAATAAAACAGAAAATTATCCTTTACATAAACATTCAGCTTTTTGTTAATTTGGTAGTAGCACAATAAACTTGGTGATAGATTCCAACCTTCAAATATTAACCTATTTTGATAACTTAGAAATAAAAAGTAATACGGGCTCAAACAATTAACATGTAAATGAAGTGGCTGGAAGACACCTGCTTTAGAAAAGTACTACTAGCTGCTTCCCAGAGGATAAGTTAAGATGCTGGCTGTTTCTGCCATGCCAGGACTGTATGCGTAGGAGAGCTCACAGACATCAAAAAATACATTATACTTACATCCTCTACACATACAAAACTCTATTACTTTCTATGTTTCAAGAACTGGCATAGCTAATCTAATTTTAGTTAGAAGTTTAACTAAACAGTTCTAATAAGAAGCTGAACTTACCTTTTCATAAGGCTTGCTACAGCCAAAACCAAATATCAACAGATGCCCATGAGAATCTGTACATGCAAAATGCTGCCCATCTGGTGAAAATTTGCAGTCAAAAACAGCACCATGTCCTTGGCCTTCAATCTACATTGAAGGAAAGAAACTTGAGAGTATTTTATCAAACTTTCAGAACAAAAATCAAAAATCAATTATTCTGTCAAAAGCAGTCCTGCACCTCTTTAAATGCCTCCATTAAAGCAATGAACAATCCACCCCAGATATAAACTTCAGTTTATATCATTTCCCTTGACATTTTAAGTCCTAAATCATATAATTTTAAAAGATGCAATAAAGGATATGGAAACATACTCAAATAAACAAAAAAACAACCAACCAAAAAACAAGGAACAAAAAAACAACTTTGAGGCTTTTTAGCTATCAGTATATTGCTGAAGGTTAAATTCTAGCTACTAAATACTTACTGTTAAGCCACTTTCTAGAAAGCCATGAAACTTTAAACCTCAAGTAAAAAATCCCTTCTCTATTGACTGTAACAAAAATAAATTAAAAAAAAAAAACAAACCAAACACTGTATCATATTGAAACCTCAGAGACAATAACTTATTTGGAAGAGTTAATTGTAAAGCTGGCCATGTCAAAGGAACTCTCCAAAAGCAAAGTTTTCATTATTATTATCATGTATCATATATTAGTATTATTATTTTTAGTATAGTTGAGAATAGAAATACTTGTCTATGTAATTCCTGAAGTGATAGATCTTTCAGACTTTTCAGTGGAACCTACCTCATCTAAATTAACAACAGATCCTAAGAATGAGGTGCAAAAAGGTCCCTTGGAACAAAGAGTGGAAGAGCCCTGGTGTTAACTATCTGCAGTACTCTCAGATTGAAAAGTTAACAAGTTAAGCCAAAAAGAGATCAGACTTTGATTATGATGGAAGTGACATCTTGCTTTGCTCCCCCACATCTCACATTCTTCACATCTGACTACAAATTCTCACAATTCATCCTCCTTGTCTCATAAGCTTACATCCTGAATCTAAATCAACCCATAAGCTCTGGAGAATTGTACTAGTGCAAAGAAGCAGCTAATAGTCTTCTAGAAGGTTGGAGACCTGATTATGCTTAGTAACGGGCCTACTGAGAAACATCTGATTCAAGGAAGTGGGCAGACAGCTGGAAGCAAGCCAAGGAATTACCCCTGCTCACTGTTCTGACACATCAAACCATAAATTCACTATTAGTTTCATTGCACCTATAGTTATAGTGACCAAGAAATTCAAAGGTAAGAGTTCTAGAAACAAACTGAACTCAATTTTTGCCTTAAAAGAAAGAAAAAAAAAAGAAATAGCAGCAGGTATACATGTAGAATCTGTGTGATGGTTCTTTAAAATAGTACCTGAACATACTACTGTGGGTTGAGAAAAAGTGGAATTAAAAAAAAAAAAAAACAACAAAAAACTCTTACCATGTTGAAATAATGCTTTGTTTTTGTGCCCTTTGTAATGTCCCATATGAAGATGTTGCCATCATGACCAGCAGACAGCATTATCCTGGAATCAAAAGGATGGGTCTCCAAGACAAATACTTCATCCGCATGCCCCTAAAATTCAAAATTGGAAGTCAGACACAAACAAAAGGATATAAATCCAAATCAACAGGATATCTACAGTAGACCTTAAAGCACTGCACCACTCTCTTCTCCCCATATGAAGGCTTTTTAAAATGAAATCTCTACAAGCTGCATCCAAAAATACATCAACTTTTAGAACTTCCACTGCACATGTATCTGGATTGCTATCTCCGCAACTAGAGTGGAAGTAGAGAAAGGAGAGCAAAAATGCTTGTGATGCAGAAACATCATTCAAAATTTAATCATTTCCTAGATGCAAACAAGAACTCAGGAAATATAGAGCTTCTGGCAAATTAACATGAACTATTAAGAACTATGAAACAGACAAGTTAGTTCAAAAGAAGGAGGGAGCAGTTTTGGTTAAAAAATCCAGGAAAACGTTACACTTGCCTTGTGATTAATGTAGAGCATCAAAACAACCAGACCAACTGGTCATGCACATGCCACTCTAAATATAGAAAGACTTACTGAAGATCTACGTCAAAAAAGCATGGAAAAACAACTACGTACCACCAAATCGTGAAGCAATTGCCCTGTAGATGAATTCCAAACTTTGAGCAGATGATTATTTACAGCCGTAACAACATAGTTGTCATTTTGGTTCCAAGCTATCATTGTTACTTTAGGCCTCATAAATTTGTCTTCTTCTGAACACATGTCACTATTTTAAAGAGTTATAAAGGTAGAAATTATTTTTAATTCATCCATCTCAATCTCAAGCTAGAGAAAAACAACTAGTTTTCCAGTGTTAACAATTAGACAAAAGAAGGAACGTTAATAATTAACTCTGTATTGACACTTTTGTCCATAAACTTTTTTTTCTTTTTAAAACGATAAAGTATAAAGCAAATGTCCTTTCTTGGGTTTGAATAATTTGTATTTTGCATGCACACACACACACACACGTACACACGTTTGAAGAAGAGTAACTCAGAGGAAAAGAACAAAATTCAATTAAGAATGAAATTCTCAGAACTAATCCTGAAACAAACAGCTTGATGCTCAGATATACTGTTTTTTTCCCTTGTTTCTCTTTTGCCAAACTGCATTTCTAATATTCTAGGAGATCCCTCTCAGTATCCTTCATTAACTAAAGGAATGGGCTTGCTTTCAAACATTAACACAGTATTATTTATATTCTGCATCAGCTAGCAGCCTCTTCCAAAGACTCCCTCAATCATACATAATTATGTCTGTTACCCAGAAAGATAGTTGTCACAGTCATATTTCAAACATTAGTCATTACTTCTACCAAAAAAACGCTTTTTTTTAGCATCCCAAAGAACTTGCCATTACCTAGTACACCTAACATGAGTTTGGGTTGCTTTTTATTTTCTTTTCTTTTTATTTCCTCCTATTTAATTGCCTCCAAATTAGTCTTTACACAAGGTTTAAGCATTTCATAGTACTGTAAATCTACTTATCAGGTTTATTCAGTGCAGTGCAATATCCTGATCACCATCTCTAATAACATAATTTAAACTTTGTGAAATAAACATACTTCATTAATATATATATATATATTTTTTTTTTTTACACAAGTGAAGACAGTCAATGAAAACAGCTAGCAAAATCAGAACTTGAAGAAATTCACCTATTATCTTTCATGATCTCTTCTGGAAAAAGTTTATTATCTTATTTTCACTAATATAAGGAGTTCTTCCTGTGACACGACGTCAAGATTGCAGGCCAGCTATAGAAGTCTACTGATTTTCTGTTAACTTAATAAAAATAGACTTGTAATTAATTTGGTAAAGAATACATTTGAAAGCTATACATTGAATTTATGTATTTCCCTATTTTTGAAAGACAGTAATTTAACAAGTTGTTACATCACTGGAAGACTCATAGCAGCCTTCAAAAAAACACATAATCTGATCATAACATTGTTAAGGCTTCTTTTAAATCCAAACAGCACTTGATGAGTTCCTGGAGCTTTCTGATTTCATGGAACAGAGAAAAAAAAGGAATATACTTCACCTACCCTGGTAATCGATTGGACATATCCAACAGAATACTCCTCCATTCAGCTTCTTCAAAGCGCCAGATTCGTGCTGTCCCATCTCTACTGCCACTTATGAACCTTAAAGAAGTTTTAAAGGATGATTAGAAGAATTTGTTTTGAAGAGGGAAACACCACAACTCAGACTACCACCATGAAATACCGATAAAAATGTTATTGTCAATTTACATGTAAGAGTTTTTCACTTAACTGTTATTAGTTCTCTTTCCAGAAGAAGAAAAGAGTTTTTCCAAACTGAAACTGAACAAAGTTTTCAAAACATGCAGAACAGTATCAATTTCCAAATTAAATTCACAACTTTATCCTCAACTCCTTCTCAATTACAGTTCTATAAATATCTATTTTAAGTAACGTGTTCTGAAACTGCGAAGTATCAGATACTGACATAGAAGCAAGGACAGATCAGCATAGCAAAACCACCCACAGGAAAAGACTTCCAGTAGTTTTGTTTGAGATACTGAAGTATAAACAACAACAGTTCAGGCTTATATTTCACAAACAACTGTTATTAATAAAGAAGAACAATAATTCCTGAAGAGAGGAACTACAAAGCAATCAGTCCATGAATCACAACACTGAAAAGGACAGGAGACACAGCTCTCATAGAAGTTGTGTACTGGGTATATCATGTCTATACTCTAATTACCAATGATTCATATTAGTAATAATTATAAATTCCAGACATGTTCCAAAGAAAGTGTCATCAAGCAAAATAGCAGTAGTGAGATTGTTTTTTTACATTTGTTTTGCTTGCGAGACTTTTGGCTTTTCTTTCTTTAAACAGTGCCTTCAAAGGTAACCCATACAAGCTTCAAGTGTGATGGACCAGTGCAAAACAGTAAGTGCCAAAGACGCGTACAATTACAGAAAAATATACTCAAAAGGAAGGCAATTACAAGTTCTAAGCTAATTATTAGGGTCCTCATTCATAGTTAACTGTCTTACTGAGAGAGAAAGGACCCAACAAAAATACAGCTGTAACTCATGGTTGCATATTGAAGCCTGCCTTGAAAGCTAAAATCCGTACTTTCATTTCCATAGAAATTCTCATTTTCATAGGAAGAAATTCTTTACTGTGATGGTGGTGAGACACTGGAACAGGTTGCCCAGTGAGGTTGTGGATGCCCCCTCCCTGGAAGCACTCAAGGCCAGGCTGGATGGGGCTTCAAGCAAAATGGTCTAGAGGGAGACGTCACTGCCTATAGCAGGGGGTGATCTTAAAGGTCCCTTCCAACCCAAACTATTCTATGATTTGTGATAGGAAAATGATGAGAAATCAATTTAGGTGCCATTCTGTATTTGAAGTTTGGTTTAAATTTTACAAAAGGAATTTAAGCAACACTTTTTCTACTTCCAATATCAGCTAAAATATCAGTAAAATATTTTTAAAGGAAATTGATTTAATAACAGTAGATAGAAAAAAATGAGTAGGACCAAAACTTCTTTTTAGACCATTCGCACATTTTCCCATTCCCCACTTTGATCAAATATTTGCTTAAAACGTGAGGGAAAGAAAAGGAAGACACTTGGTAAATACATTTTAAAAAGGATAAAATTCCTTCAAGTAAATACAAATTCAGCTAGTCCAAAGTTTGATAGGAGTTTGAGGCACAGAGCTGCAACTTAGCTATTCGCTAATAGGTTAGCCCATATTAGACCTTCCAGTTTAAGGTAGTAAGATCTCACTAGAAACCTTCACGCAGAAAATACATTCCTAACTCCAAAGTAGCATACTGTTTGGTTACATCTGAGAACCTCTCAACATACCTATCACCACTGTTGGAAAACTGAATGCTGTCAACTTTGTCCTGCAAGAAAAAACAAAGTTTGTCAGAAATTGTATTTTAAAAAATGAAATACCAGTTTTGACAGATCTGAGATTATGAAAATCTGAAACAATGAAAAAAAGGCATACAACTCTGCAGACAGCCAGGTCTGATAGAGAATTACCAGAACTCAGTAACCACTAACGCTTCATCCAAAACACAAGCTTTACAAAAACATTTCATTTAAACATGAAGTATAGACAAATAACTGTCCATTAATAACTTGGCAGCCAACAAACTTGAATACATACTTCCACAGTATCATAAGCCAATCACAGTCCAGAGGATTCTGTTGCTCCCACTCACACATTCCTTAGAAATTACAGCTAATATTATATTTATTACAATAAAAGCAATAGAAAAAGCAGATACCACACTCAACTCAGTTTATCTTACAGAGCTGAAAATCTTCTCCACTGACAGAATACACATTCATCAAGTCTCATCACTATAACATAAATGGTTAAGCTTGGATTCAGCATTAGGGCAATCATATTAAAACAAAATAAGAAAGATGAGTATTTGAAAAGTTCCCTTTTAAAGATCTTTAAGAGTTGAATTAAATATGATTCTCTGTATTAATACTGAGGGGGGAAAAAAAAGATAGCTGTCCTCACACACTTTAAGTGTCTATCACAAAGCACATCTAAACAACACAAAGCTCCAAGTACTTTAAAAACTTGGGTTAAAAATATACCTGGCAGAAAAGCTGTCTTCTCATATGAAACACAGAATCATCTTACCAAACTATACTTGCCTATGAGCAGAACCATCCAAATAGATGTAAATTATGCTATCCTGCAGCCTAAAAACCCTACTAACACTTTAATTTTTCATTTGGAAACACCAATACCACCCTTTGGTGTGAAATTTTGGAAGAGGTTTAATAGTGGAATTCTAAATTTATAGTTTAAAATATGCTCAAGTTCTTGCTGTTTGTCTACTCCACAGAAGCCACACAGTGAGATTCACTGTGTTAAAGGAGTTATTACCAAGATCAAGGTTTAACAGATGTCTTTAAAAATAAACAGAAAAACTAACACTATTACATGACATACTTCACATCTTCCTTACTGGTATAAAAGTTTTCTTATCCTATACATGTGACCATTCCCAACCAACACCTATAGTATCTTGGTACTCCATGGTACCTTAAGTTCTGTCATGGTACTATTTCTAAACATAAAACCATGACAAGTTCTTCAATGCTTCTGAATGTAGTGGGCAAAGAGCTGAAACACCACGTGACAAAAAACATCAAAGCGGAACAAGATTAAAATACATGAACAGGGACAGTTATAAGAAACAGAGCTCCAAGTTTTGGAAAAAAAAATCCAAGTGTTAAATGCAAGGGCCTAAGTCCTATTCACAGGAAGATTCACCATACTGAATTCATAAAATGATAAAATGCTCATTAAAGATTTGAGCATTAAGCGCTGAAAACAGACAACAAAAAAGAATAGCAAAAGTCACTTAAATGTCATCATGTGAACGTAAACCAAGTTTCCCTTAGACTCTTTAGAAGGCAGATTCCATTGGACCACGCTGCAAAAACCAAAGACATAAGGGTTCTGGAAAACTCTGGAAACTCAGTCCCCGTATAAAGATTTAACACAGAACATGGCAAATCACAACTACCTAGGTAATGAAATCAATTTTCTCAGCAATCTGACTTCCTGACTGCATCATACAATATGTGGCTATGCAAACTTGCATTGTAAAGGGAAGCAACTGAGTAAGCCACGTGCTTTAAAATTAGAGATACCTGCCATCCCTTAAAACAGTTCAGTCACGTAAGATGGCTGGTTGAAATTCTGTATAAATTCTAACAAATATATTCAGTGAAAACACTGCCACAAATCCACTAACAACATGAACTTGCAACTTCAATACTACTTTAAACAACTAATTAGTAGATTTAAAAATCTTACAGCATGACTCTCCAATTCAGCTATTCTCTCAGGAGTTTCAGAGCCAAAATAATACATCCTTATAACATGGTCAGTACTGCCAGTGGCTAAAAACATACCGCCTGCAAAAAAACACAAATAATTTTTAAAAATCAAGCAGTGCTTTCTTACACAGATTAATTAAAACATCACGTTTCTCAGACACTTACTTTAAAAAACTAAGAATTTCCACTGATATGTGCGTGGAATGGAACCCCCCCCCTTACTTCAGAAAGCCTTCCCAGCCATGGTAAAAACAGGCAAGTCATATTTGATGTTACAAACGTTTTAAAATATGTAACTAGGAGAATGCTTAACACCGAACACTACTGCTTGTGCACACAGGTGTCCATTTACAGGAAATCTGGCTAACCATTATCAGAATCATCTAGATGATTCTTTTATTGTAGCACATGCACCATGTCTGCTATAAGTATCATGTCACAACTAGGTGCCAGTATGGATACACCAGCATAAGCAGAGCAGTGCTTAGCAGTGATGATAGCAATACAGTGATCTGCTTCTTGGCTCCAGTAAGTCAGTCAGTCCAAAGTTTATTTAAAAAAGAAAAAAAAAAGAATGGCAGGAGCTAACATGCTAGACTTTGAGATGTATTTTATTTGTTCCCAACTTTCTTCTGATGTTTATGCTGTCTGGTACCAGCAAGCTTTCCCACAAAATTCACCCGCATGATTAGAATAAAGGATGACTACAAGCCAAGACTGAAGCACATTTATAGACACATCTATGGATTTTTAAGTAAGAAGGGATTTTTCTGACAATCTCTGCATACAACTGGCACAGAATGAGAAAATCCTATTATTGGCAGTAAGCCCTGCTGTTGCCTGTGGTATCTCAGACAACAATAATTTTCCAAAACTGTGGCAGTATGCTAAGGGGTTAAAGGAGTACAAAAATCTGGTGAAGACAAAGACTAAAGGAGCATCAGGTGATTTTTTCATTAGCAAACTACTGCAGACAAATGGGAGTTACTTATTATATAGTGGCTGTTTTATTTTTAAAGCTGTCACAACAAAAGAATTATAAACGTACTCATGAGGAAAGAGGAGAAATCACAGTGCTAAATCCAATCTATATATGCCTTACCTACACTGAATGAAGAACAAAGCATCTGAACTCCTGGTCTAGGTTTCTCTGTAAATTTCACTGGCCGATTGCTTAAAAAGAAAAATTGCTTGAAATAGGATATGTCACAGAAAAATTCAGCTTTTACCATCACTTCAAAACATAAGCGTATGTTTCTTTGAACAGGTACTTAAATACATACAGTAACATCTGTACATCTCATACAGCAACATCTGTACATCTCATGCAGGAGGATAAGCAATGGTTTACTTCTCCAGGTTACTGTATGCACATGCACTCAAGCAGTATTTGAACCCCACACAAACTAAAAGATTACAAGTTCCAGCAAAATCTTAAGCAGGACAAGCCAAGGAGCGTGCATCCACTCCACGTGGCATCCACAAAGTACTGAACTCATGCTCACAAACTACCAACCATTAGTGGCAGATGAAATAAGGCCTGTTAGATATCATTACTGAATGTAAATTCATGAAATTTTACAGAAGTAGACATAAGTTTTGCAGTTGTACACAAAGTGACTGGTTCCCTGTTCCGCAAGTCACGAACACACTCTTCCAGTTAACATGGCCAAAATTTCAAACAAAGTAGCTATTAAGAGCCACATTAAGGAGAAAATACAGAAAACTGGATTAATTTCCCAGGACAACTGAAGAACAAATTTGTAAAGAGCATAATTAGTGCTTTTAAATATTTATACAAAGTTTTTAGATAATTAAGTCAATGTGTGCTTGCCAAAGCAGTCAGTTTATTTTCATGAACAAGAGTCCATCAGCATCCCTAGTTACATACCTGAATTTCATGGAATCTGTATCCCACTGCCAAAAGCAAACATTTCCATCTGCACCAGTAGAGACCATATATCGCATGGAGCCTTTCACCATTGGACTAAACTACAAGGGGAAAAAAAAAAGAGAGGTCAGAAACAAATAAAGATATTTAAAAATTATTTATGAACTTCTAAAAATGCTCGTGTGAAAAACAATAATAGAAGATTTAAAGTGCTAAGTGGTTGCTGAAAATGCTTCAAAAGTAACACCTCCTATACTCTAAGATAGGTGTATGTTGTAGCTTTCAATTATTGCATTATATAACAACTCATTCACTGCTTTGCTTTGGTACCCATTAAAAATTTTGTCAATGAACGAAGGAACTAGCAGACAGAGCACTAGAAAAAAAATGAAAGGAATTTTCACTAGATAGGCAATTCTATAATTCTATACAATTCTATAATTTAAAAGAATATATGTTAAAAGATAGTTTGAGTGTATGTAAACCAACATCATGTACAACTTTATAGGAAGTCCTCATACACGCTTCTTTAGTACAGTTTTTCTTGAGGCACACAGAGATAACCTCTCAAAAAAAATTCAGATGACAAGTTGATAAAATCATTCATCAATTGCTACTACCATCAGCACTGGAATCAGCCATAAAGAGCTTACATTTCAATTACTCTTACTAAGAACTGTTAAGCAAAAAAGATCCAGCATACTACAATGAACATCAGAAATATGTTTCTTGCCAGAAAATAAATAAATGCCAAAGAAACTGCAAATATTAAGTCTACAATCGAAGGCAGCATCCGATCACTTCTCACTACAGCCCAGCACTCTCCTCATTACAACCTCCTGTCATGTGTTTGCAGAGAGCAATGAGCTCTCCCCTCCACTTCCTTTTCTCCACATGGAACAGCCTCAGTTCCCTCATCTGCTCCTCAAAACACCTGTTTTAAATTGTTTTCTAACATCTTATACTAAGTACATTTGAACGTTTGAAATAGCATAGTTTTAAGATTAAGAAAGATACCCATATCACAGAAGCTTTCAGAATCACATACTGCATCAGAATAGCCCACATATTCTACCTCCAGTAACAGACAAGAGGAGAGCACAGCATCACCCAGAAATTCTCTCCAGTTCCAACAATTCAAACGTTACAGATAGCATGCCCGGCGATTGCCCAGAAACAGCTTTCTCAAGAAAAATACTTCAATACATTGCTTTAACATCAGTGCAGTTTTTATGAAGTCATCAAGGTTATATTTTTGGGAATTCGGTACCAGTATTTTTTATTTCATTCATTACGTGAAGAAGATTGGTAGTCAGTGACTCAGGAACTCTGGGAGGCAAAGAACCTCTTTTTAATAAACAAGTTTCTCCTGACTAATTTTTGACATCTATATTTAAATGTTCAAATTTCAACATACATACAATCACACAAAAATAATTGTAGTTATGCAAAAGACAGTGAAATTCATTTTCCATTCACATGCTGTCTCTCACGAGAACATCAGTTGTCTTGCAAGATTTGGACGTGAAAAACCAAGAGGAGCCCTTGTTAAACTACTTCTTAACCTAGCAACAGCAACCAGAGAATTAACAGAATGCGAGGCACAAATCTTCCTTTTCAAGACAAAATTAGATAGCCATATTCACACAGAACTTCCACGCAAATGCGTTTCCCAGTTTCAGTAAGCAACCAAGGAACATGGTTCTTTCTCTACCAATATGATAGCTAGCTAATCTACAGGCAGCCCAGCAATTTAAGTTCTACTACTAAAGGTGACTCTCAATTCAGGTATAAAAAACTTTCTTCTTTTCCCCACAGCTGCTTCACATTTTCTACTATTTAAATACTTTCAAACCTTCCACGACCTTTATCTTTGAGACTCATGGCCTGCCTGCTTCTCATAATTCTTTTACATTCTAAGCATTTCTACATACTGAAGCAGACATAAATAGGTTACATATACAGTTCTCAAGGCCAAGAGGACTTTTTGTGACTTCAGCCACACACAAGAGTTTTCTAAAAACTCTCCCATCACTTAGTTGTCTGGCTGTCCTTGTTGCATCCTGGCATGCTGATGCTGTGTAGAAGTGCCAAGCGAATAGTAAGATAGGAGGAAAGAGACTCTGAAACATACAAGGACTACATTAAGCCAGAGCTAGAAACTTCACATTCTGTACCACTAGCACAAAATTCTACATTGTACTTAAGGACTCCTCTTTCCACTTATTTATATTTACCACTCCTTAACCGTTATGCAAGAACTGATTTTAAGTTAGAGAATTTGCAGTACTTACTAACAGAAATAAAGTTAATACTTAGATATGTTGGAAGGAAGGGAAACCATCCAGAGGGTTCTGGACAGGCTGGAGAAGTGGGCCCATGTGAACCTAATGAGGTTCAGCAAGGCCAAGCACAAGGTGTTGCACTTGGGCCAGGGCAATCCCCAGTGTTAATACAGACTGGGCAAAGATCTGCTTGAGAACAGCCTTGCAGAGAAGGACCTGGGGGTCCTGATGGATGAGAAGCTGGACATGAGCCAGCAGTGTGCGCTTGCAGCCCATAAGGCCAACTGCGTTCCAGGCTGCACTAAAAAAGGGATGGCCAGCAGGGAAAGGGAGGTGATTGTCCCCCTCTACTCAGCTCTTGTGAGACCCCATCTAGAGCACTGTGTCCAGGCCTGGGGCCCCCATCACAAGAAAGAGAAGAGCTCTTTCTTGTCTGGAGTGCAGAGGAGGGCCGCTAAGATGATCAGAGGGCTGGAGCACCTGTCCTATGAAGAAGGGTTGAGGGAACTGGGCTTGTTTAACCTGGAGAAGAGAAGACTGGGGAGACCTCATTGTGGCCTTTCAATACTTGAAGGGAGCCAATAAACAGGACGGGGTACATCCATTTGCAAGGGTGAAGAGTGATAGGACAAAGGGGACTGGTTTTAAACTAGGACAGGTGAAGTTTAGCTTAGAGATCAGGAGGAATTTTTTCACTCAGAGGGTAGTGATGCACTGGCCAAGGAGGTTGTGGATGCTCCATCCCTGGAGGCATTCAAGGCCAGGCTGGATGTGGCTCTGGGCAGCCTGGTCTGGTGGTTTGTGACCCTGCACATAGCAGGGGGTTGAAACTCAATGATCATCGTGGTCCTTTTCAACACAGGCCATTCTATGTTACCAGGTCAAGCTGCATAAGCTATTTTAAAAGCCTGCAGTTTTATTTACAAATTTTTATTTCTAATGTCCAAAGTGTTACATATTACTACAGTTATCTGTTTAACGGGACCTCTAATACTACACAAAGTATCTATTAATGACACAGAATGCAAGTATTAATCCAAAACATACCTGCAATGAGGTAATGGATCCCGTGTGCCCATGGAGGACAGCAACCGGCGCACAAGTTCTCAGACACCACACCCTGATCATCTTATCACAGCTACCAGCTGCAATCATAGTGTTTTCATAATTGACAGCCATATCAGAAATTTCTGCTGAATGCCCACGTAATGTGGCAAATAAGCGGCCATTATGAGTTGACCATATCTTTACCAGACAGTCATCTGAACCCTAGAAGGAAACATTTAGATTAGCAAAGTGTTTAAAAGACATTCTGGATAAGTTTTTCAGTTTCACTTGGAGAACTTTTGTTCATTCAGAGTTTGGTACATTTATACATCTATTTAAAACTATACATGCTACTTGACAAAAATAAAGTTATAAGAAACAAAACATTCAATTACGGTTCAAGATTACATTGCAGGCATCACAAGTCTATCCCAGGTAAAGCAGAAAGTATGGACTAAATTTACCCCGGACATTACAATAAATTGCAACAGCCAATAAATGTACTACACTATACTGCAAAAGCAATTTCTCCTCTGTCCCTTCACAGCGAATATGAAACATACTGAACACACAAGTACATCACTAAAGGAAGCACTTGCACTGATATCTGTCCAGACTTTCACATTAAGTAACAACAATTTCTTACACACTTCTGACCTTTAATTACACAACACTGTTACACTTAGCATTGTGATGAAGCTAATCAGTTGCACTTCAACAGCGCGGACATCCACCTCTAGAAGTTTTAGCAAAGCCTGCATTTCAAACTTTTTCTCCTAGCATCCAACTACTGTTATTTTCAGATTCAGATTAATTTCAACTCACAGTGAATATTCTATGTCCAGTCCTATCGAATGCAACACAGTATACAGAAGAAAGATGGCCAAGAATCCGTCTGTGCATCTTTACATGCTGATACATACTTCCTGGAAATGAAGTACTGAACTTTGCATATCCAGTTAGCTGTCTCGCTCGATATACTTCCACTAGAACACAAAGAAATCAGAGAATTAACATTAATATGTAGAACAAGGTTTTTTTTTAAAACATCATTTTATTTATCAGCTGTTAAGGTACTATTTGAGGATATCCTGAAAAAGTGACTTTCATACTGTATGAAATCAGATGCCTCTTTCTGAAGCTGCCTTTTTTTTTTTTTAAATGTGTATAGTAAGCAAGACAGCACTTTAAACTACCTCAAATCCAAACTTCTGTCTCCAAATATAGAGAGCTAGATGTTACCTTTATTTTCCCATGGCTGTCTATGCATTAAATCATACAAAAGACCTATCCAGAAGCAAATTATTCATAAATGCTAATCTGCTGGTTTACCTACTTAATATATGGGCTATATAAAAGAGAAAGATCTCATCTAGAGGCTACAATCACACCAGTACTGTGGGCAGGCCTCTGTACCCACATATAAATAACTCCACTGAAGTCATATGAAGTTTTCCAGATAAGCCTCCAGATCCAGTTCTGGGGCACAATTCTCAATCATAGTGAGACCAGTGTAAGATGCACATCACACGCTTGTATCAACAGTGATGAACTTCAGTAAAAGCATACCGAGATTTGGTGGTGTGCCATAGTTGACAGGAAATTCAGGAGGTCTTCCTCTGTGAAGAGCAGCAAATGCAGAGCCCTTCCAAACAGTGTTCCTGCAATCTTGAAAAATCAAGTGGAAGTTTGCCATAAATATAGGTTAAAAATGCAAGGCCAGTTGCAGTTTCAAAGCACAGTAATGAGCATAACAGTCAGTGGTGTCATACACAGTAGTGGAATAACTACAAAAATTGTAAGACCAGAAATCCCCAAATGTATCATGAACAATACAGCCATAAAAGAAAAGGAGAGAAAAAAATATTTTATATAGTAACAGTGGGGAAAAAAAAAAAAAAAAAAAAAAAAAAACAGTAAAAAAAAAGCCAACACAAAACCAAGAACACCAAGAAACCAAAGTCAAGCTTTTGACTGCTGACGTCCCCGCAGGTCACAGAACACAAAACTAAATTCTCACCTGGAATTCTGGTACTCATTTTCAGAATAAAGTATTTAAGATTAAGAACTATAAATACACATTGTTTTTATATATATCAAATTATTGGACAAGACAATCTCAAGATGCGTCTTCCAACTTTACTACTTGGTGACTCTTCTATTTCTCACACAAAGTGATTTGGACATACTCATGCTAGAATCATTAAAATCCCAATTTTAAGTACAAAACAGTCTCTGAATTACTCATAGCTCACCCTTTAAACGTAAGGCAGATAACCGAAAAACAAGTGCATCCAATAAATCAGTCCCACACCATAGTATCTAATTACCCAATACTGCACAAATGAATAAACAAATACCTCTCTCCTGAAATGTTCAAAGAGGGAAGTTTAAAGCTAAAACCTACTTTGTGAAAATCAAATGATCCATGTGCTCTTGTACTGCCAACTACCCACTTTAAATAACAGAAAATGACTTTCTTTCTACAAATGTACAACGTACTAATTTTGATGGTGTTTGCATTAACCAAGAAAACTATCAAAATAAATGGTGTTACTGTTTCAGGTTTGCACTGAATACAGCACACAGCTACCACAATTGAAAACCACATGGGCCAATCAATACACTATTCAGAATGTTGTGGATGTTGAAGAAGTAGTACTCGTCTCCTGATGGTTCATTTTATTGCAGTAACAATGAAAACAGGCAACATTCAGCAGCCTTAGCACTCAGAATAATGGTGATTGAAGGAACTGGGGCTGTTTTGTCTGGGGAAAAGGAGGCTGAGGGGTGACCTTATTGCTTTCTTCCAATATCTGAAAGGTGACTGCAGGGAGAGTGGGGTTGGTCTCTTCTCACTGGTGACAGTGACAGGATGAGAGGAAATGGCCTTAAGTTCCGCCAGGGTAAGTTTAGGTTGGATATCAGGAAACACTTCTTTACAGAAAGGGTGGTTAAGCACTGCAATAGGCTCCCCAGGAAGGTGGTTGAGTCACCATCCCTGAATGTGTGTAAAATCCATTTGGATGTGGTGCTCAGGGACATGATTTAGCAGAAGGTTGTTAGGGTAGTATAGTTTGGTTCTGGTTAGACGTGATGATCTTGAAGGTCTTTTCCAACCTGAGAAATTCTATAATTCTTGAGCTGCAGCTTAACACTTCTCCAACAATCAGCACACTGGTATGCTATTAATACGCAGATTGATAGTACCTTGGTTTACTGAACACAGTATACTTCGTGAAAGCTCAATGCCTTCAAACCATTCCAAAAGTGTTAAGCAGATACTTAAGAAAATGTATCATATCCATTTCAAACAATAAACAAACCATACCTTTCGCTGTACGTAGCAATGATTGCCTTCCCGCACCAAGTAAGGAATTCACTCTCGAAATGCTGGGTGGTATCTCCTTATCCAGTATTGGGCCAATACGCTTGCAAATTTGTAATAAATGGTCTGGAGCCACATGCTTGTTGGATAGCACCTGACAGAATATTAAAGTTTTAAACACATGTATGGCACATCCTGAAAAAATGAATCTAAAAGCGTGAATATTTACAGAAGTATTTGGACAGCGTCTAATATGCGTAAATTCAAATTACAAAACAAAAAAACCAATCCTGTAAAGCTCTCATCTAGTGAATTCACAAGTGCTCTCCAAGAATGGGAGAGCTGTAGTAAAAAATAAGTAAAATTACCTACTGCACATCACTATTTCAGCCACAGAAAGTCCACAATATTCACGCCTATGCGATCTGTTTGTGCAGCACCCTACAATGGGTGTCTCTACCTAACACACCCAATTATTTTTACTGATCAAAAGCAGGTCTTCAGAACTCAAGCTCGTGGAAAACTTTGTTGTTATCAAGCCTAAGAATTTATGCATCTACAACTTCAATTGCACATTATTTGTTAGATGACAGTCACCTAATGTACAAATAGGCTCTTTGAACATCTACTACACAACACCAGACATCCTTAACTCCTTAAACCAAGGGGATCAAAACAATCACTGATCCCATGCCATCTACATCTACACACCTCCACAACCACTTAGATGTCTCAGTCAAGAATAACTGTACAGTTCTACGGTTTAGGGCTTTTTTTTTTTCTTCCTCTTCCCCAGGAGATGAGTAAACAAAAAATCCTAATCAAACAATGAAGTTAATCACAATAGCACAGAAACTAAATAAAGTTTACACAGACTTGAGTAAAACAAAGCATCGATATCATAAATTTACACTCCAGGAAGGTGCAAATCAGCAGGTACGAATGGACCCATGCCAACTTGACTCTCTGATCCAGCCACGAAATAACCAGTCGGAGCCAAAAGTTGTACTGCTGCTTCAGCAGCGAGGCCATTTCCAGCCAACACACCCAAGAAAAGCAAGCAGGCCCACAACAACAGAGGTATGCGGCCTCCTGCCCACAGCACTCAAAACTCAGGCAGAACTAGCTCATGCTTATGATGCCATTCCCTCACCCTAGTGACTGAACTTCAGTGAGAGAAGTCTCAATGCTGCTGATCTCATCACCAAAAGAATGGGAATAAAAATACTGTACTGTGCCATGTAAGAGCTGTTAAACAATGTTGCCCAAATGTAAACTAAGTAACAAGAACATGATTTAAGCAATAGCCTAACATGTTCTAATAACAATCCAAGTAACTACAAAGTTTCGTGGGTACAGGTTGTATCCTGATAGAAGCAGAACAGCTGGAAGTATTAATAAAAGAAATAACATCCCTACACAGTCAAAGGTATTTCAGCACATCAGCTCCAAAGACGCTTAAGTTTGATTACGATAAATTATTTGGTAGAAAAAAAGATTACAAGGAGGCACTTTCTTATCCTTTCTTTCTAAATTCTGCCTCTTCAGCTGGCACAGAGTAGTAACAGACAAGGTATTTAGGGCAGAAAATTCAGCATAACCTATGTCAGGTCTTATAAGCCCTTCTGCTTGCACACCACCATCAGGAAGCTTACATTCTAAATGCAACCACTGACGGAAGCACAGTGACCAAACCAAGCACCTTTTTAAAAGTAGCTTCACTCATCTTTTGAAAGGAACAGTTAAACTGTTTCTCCAACTCAACGACAGACAGAAACAACTGCACCACAACTGCTATTTGTTTGCATCACTGCAGATTCAGTGACACCAGCTCAACAAGAAGTTCCCAAAGCCCCTCAAAATCAGAAGACAGATTCTGAATATTCTGAAATACTACTGCCCTGTACAGATACTTCTTTTAAACTGGGTAGGAAAAAGAGAGAGGGGTGGCACATGCTTAAGAATTCATCTGACAACCTGAAATGCACATGGAAACCTGTGCTGAGGTTAGAGGAGCCCACCCTTCTACAAGTACCATCGCTTTTTACCAGAAGAAGAAAAGCTCAAAGAAAAATAATGATGAAAATAAAGAAAGACCTTTTAAACTCAATGCTACTTTTGCATTTGCTAAATTCAAGTCAGAGCTTGACAACATTCCTGTTTAGCAAGACCTGGCCTTCTGGTGACTTAAATAATTCATTTAAGACCTCATTTGCTCTCCCAACCACACTGACAACTGAAAGAAATGCAACACAGTTTACCACCTGAAGCAGCACTTAAATTAAGAAAGCGTTCTTTTAAAAAATGTCATTCTCTCTCTACACAGATACCACCTTGAGATGTTTAGATGCGACACAGGAGGTACAAGGGCTACAACTACAGCATGCAGAGACTGACAGGTAAGGGAGCTGCCTGTTAACCCTGCATGCCCCAATTTTAGGGGCTGTCAATACATCGGTGGCAGATTGCTTTAACGGAGTACGTGCCGTGCGGCAGCCACAGCTGTCTTAATACCGTTTAGAGCAGCACGCAGCCACAGAGAGCACTCACAAGAACCACAACCACCGATTTCGGAACGACGATTTCATTTCCTAATCCGCTGCAGGGGAGCGATGAAGGAAGCCGACCAGAAAATCATTACCGTCCAATCACAACGCTCCTAACAAGCTCGCCGACGGAACTCCGCAATGAAAGCCGGCTGCGGGTTGGCTGCTGCCCGCACGCAGGCGGCGGCGTGCACCGCCGCACCGCGCCGGGCTCCACCTCTGCTATGTAAACAATATCCCAACGTACGGCGCGGCCGGGGTACGGACCGCCGCGGGAACCCCAACGGAGCGAACCCCAACGAAGCGAGATTGGGGAGACGAAGAGCCGGGCCCGTTTTACAGAGAACGTGCCCGGCGCCAACGTTACCGTCCGAGCCAAAAGTTTTTTAAAAAGAGAAAGTCTCACCAGTTCTTCGTAACTTCTATAATGCTCATTGCCTTCCCAATCCAACCTTTTAGGAAGCAGCTAAACCGAGAAAAAGAGGAGAGAAGAAAAAAAACAAAAAAAAATTAAAGGTGAAAAGGAAGGATTCCATCAGCACGAGGCGCGCCGAGGGGAGGTCCGGGCACCCCGCAGCGCTCAGGCGGGGCTCTGGGGGCGGCTCACGCACCTGGTGCTGCTCCAGCTCCTGCACCAGCACCTGCGGGGACACACAGCGCGGTCAGCGCGGCCGTTGGCGCGCACAGCCTCGGGCTCCCTTCCCTTCCTTCCCGCCCGCCCGCCCCACGCACTCACCCGCAGCGTCCCGCGGCACGGCCCGGTGCTGAGAAAGCGGGCGATGAGGAAGTAGAGCTCTGCGGGAGAGACGGAGGGAGACAGACGGGAGTGAGAGAGGCAGGGGCCACGGGGGCGGCTGTAATCCATCGCCGCCCTCGAGAAGATGGCGGCAGGGAGCAGCGGCCCGCGGCCCGCCGCCGTTACCTGACTCAATGAGCGGCGGCGACGCGCCGAAGCCGGAGGAAGCCGAGGACTCGGCCATGGCGGCAGCCGCGCTCAGGACTCGGCGGCGTCTGAGGCGGGCAGGGCCCGGCCCGGCATAGCCCTGTCAGCGCGCCCCTCCCCCGCGCCCCCCCGCGCTCTCTCTCTCTCTCTCTCGCGCTCTCTCTCTCGCATCCGCGCGCGCCGCCCCCCGTCGGACGCCTCTCGCGCTCCGGCTCTCCCCTCCCCCTGCGCCGCCGCTCAGCGCAGCCTCAGCGCCTCCGCCGCCATCGCCGCCGCTCCAAGTGCCACGGCGCCGCCGCCACCTGCGCCCTGCGCGTTCACGGAGGGCGGGGGAAAAAAGTAGTCCCCCGGATCCGGGAGTCTCGCGGGGAGAGCTCGGCGAGGAGAGGGAACGGAGAGCGCGGAACCGCGGTACAATGTGCCGTGAGGGCGGCGGGGCGGCGAGAGGGAAGCGGGGAGAGGGCCGGCGGAGGACGGAGATTTCGGGCGCGGAAGGATTACGCGAGGAGACAAGCGGTGACGGAACGAGTGTGGGCGGGGCCGCCCCGTGCGCCGTCACGGGCAGAGTTGGGGCCGTCCGGGCAGCTTCGCTGTGGTGTGCCGGGGGCTGTCCGGCAGCACAGGCGCAACGCGATAAACAGGCACTGTGCTGCTATACAGCCCGTTCGGCCTCTTGTGGGAGTGCTGCCGCGTAGACTGGTGTGGAACTGCCCCCTCCCAAGCAGCGCACGGATCGCAGAGGTTGGAAACCACGGTGCTCACTGCCCGCGGCCCTCAGTGCCGCAGCCACGCGGCTCTTGAACACATCCAAAGGCGGTGACTCCACCGCCTCCCTGGGAAGCCTGTGCCACTGCCTCACCGCTCTTGCTGAGAAGAATTTTTTTTTTCCGAATATCCATTCTGAACTTCTCTGGTGCAACTTGAGGCCATTCCCTCTTATCCTACTGCTCTTAGGTGAGAGAGGAGGCTGACCCCCACCTCACCACAAACTCCTGTGCACTCCTTGCACGAACTCATTGCACTCTACAACTTCCTGAAGGGAGGCTGCGATGAGGAGGGGTTTGGCCTCTTCTCCCAGGCAACAAACAGGACCTGAGGACATGGCTGCAAGTTGCACCAGAGATTTAAATTAGACATAAGTAGGAACTACTTCTCTCAGAGAGTGGTCAGGCACTGGAATGGCTGCCCAGGGTGGTGGTGGAGTCAGTGTCCCTGGCAGTGTTAAAGAGGCATCTGGATGAGGAGCTACGAGATACGATTTAGTGCTTGTGGTAGCAATGGGTGATGGGAGCACAGTTGGACTAGATGATCTTGTAGGTCATTTCCAACCTTCTGATTGTATGATTCCTCTCAGGTGGCTGTAGAGAGTAACGAGATCACCCCCTGAGTCTCCTGTTCTCCGGACTAAACAACCCCAATTCCCTCATCTGCTCCCAATCAGACTTGTCCTCCAGACCTTCAAGCACATCTGTGTGATTAGACCACCTCACAGAAATGTGTTTTGGAAAAGATGGTTCTCCTTATGTGAATCATGCTATGTGTAAATCTAAAGTTTAACGGTCACTCCATTCCTTAGTCACACCGACCAAAGGTACCTCGTGTTGTAAAAGAAACCCATGAGACCCGCATATAAATTCCACTCCCATTCTCCACCTGCATGACTGGCACCTGGTGCTCATACACACCCTTCCTCATCTTCCTTGTAGCTTAAGTGCTGTGTTTTTTTTTCTCCCCCCCCTTTACTTGTTGTCATTTCAAGCTCTGTGGAGAAATATACTATTATTTCTTCTACACTTTCATCGCCAGAACCGTACTCTTTACAGACTTCAACTGCTAAGCTTGAAATTAGACTTCCTTAAGTGGACCGCTTATAATGACTAAACAGTGCTTTGCTCCTTTTCTTCCTTTCTCATAAAATGCCCCACCACTAGTTATCTTTACAGTAAAAGCTAAGAGAACCCTTTCATGCCAGTTTTCACGTGATTCAGCTCTGATGAAACAAGCACTGACAGATGTGAAAGGTCTTCCTGTCTATTGCAGAATGAGAAGTCATAGTTGAATCACCTCCACTTCCTACAGAAACACATTTCATTCTTTACTGCATCAACACCAGCTTGTACTGCTCAAAACAAACCAGGGCTTCTGTGCTCCTGACACAATCGCCTCTCCTTGTTTTTTTCAATATGAGCATTTCCATCCTGTGAAAGATAAGGTGTTGCTGATTTATCCATAAGTCCCTTCGCTTGCAGAATAAAATGAGGGATGGCTTTTTGTCTCCAAGAATAAATTACTTGGGAATTACTTAAGAGTGTCTGCCTTAGAGATGAGGTGTTGAAGTCAACAACGTCTCAACACTGAAGACTCACAACATGTGAGAAGCAGGCATTCAGTACAGGTATAAGGTTATTTCGGAATACTTACTGGCAACATTATTAGTCATTGAACTGATATTTCTGATTTGCTAAAAACACACACACAAAAGAAACAGCACATAAGCAGCTGTGTCTCCCTACTACAAAAATAAGCGGTCAAATAAGGTAACTGAGTGAGGAAGAGGTATAGAAAAAGTGACAAATTTAGTTCAAGTCTGTAAAAATATCACAGAATTTGAAGTCAAAGCCAGGTGCATTCTGCTCAGAACACAGCTGTGGTGGGACAGGATCAGAAGCACATTGTGAGCCAGTGTTGAAAGACATCCTCTATTATAAGTTAAGGAAAACCTAAACATTTCTTAAGTATGTAAGATGGAAAAATGGTAAAATGATGAAAGCATTTGAGGAAGTGCTTCAATGAAAGCATTCTTTGAGAAAGTAAGTTAGAGGTGAAACTTTGATGTCTTCAGAAGAAACTATTAAGTTGATGATGGCACCAAAGTGAAGAGGAAGCAGCTGCTGTATTTGCAGGTGTTGTATATGAGCATAAAAAAAATTCTCATTCAAGAGGAAAAAGAAGAAACTTGCTTTTTGATCTTGACTCCTCCCAAGCCAAGGCTGACAGTTATCTGACTGGCATCAAACAGACTGATCAGATAAAGCTGTGTACATGCTGCAATATGGCAAAATAAAGTGTGGGGGGGGAAATCAAGTGCACTCTGGGAGAACTGAAATGATACAGTAGGTCTCATTTTTTACTTTAAGTAACATATATTTAGTACGCCCCCTTCTCATGAAAGGCTGTTAAATCTTAACAAAATTATTTTTTTCTAGGAGTATCAGGCCAGTTTTGTGCTACATGAATGAGCTCTCAGCATGGTTATGTTTTACTTTTATTTGAATCCCTGCTCTGTCAACTTGCATATCTATATAGCAGGCACAGCTGCTCACAGCAGGCTACACTCACCTGCACAAGAAATAAAGTTTTCTTCTTCTTTCCTCACAGCTCTTGGCCAAATTCTTACACTCCTTATCTTCTGTGGGTTCCATTACATAAACTCAGCTGGCTGCTTGAGAAGTTCACAGTCGAGGCTCATTTTATTTTGTGCATTATTTACGCACACAAATGCTGAACAGACAAAAATATCTGGTGCTTATGAAGTTTGTTTTTTTAAAAAGGTACCAAAAGCAGCAGTACATTACCAGCTCTCGATCAAGAAATCCAGATAAGACTACAATTACAGTTTTCTACTTGCTGCTCACCCCTACATTACTACCTGTAGGTAGCACAGTTTTTAACAACATAAAGAATACAGTTAAGAATCAAAGCCAGTGGGTATTTATTCACTGCTTTCCAATAGAAGCACAAGTTCAATGACTGCACCCCCTTATACTCTGAGTTGTTGTAGCCAATACAAGAGCTCTAGAAACATTCTTTCTTAATCAAGATTTATTTGGCTTTTGTTTGGTGATCACAGACACTACAATTTTACAATTGTTCTTATTCACACAGTTTCTTTTTAATATAAAAACTATAATTTTATTTTTTTCTAAGCCTATTTCAAATATTTTTCATTTGGACTTTGTAGACAAGCTCTCCTTCAAAACTAGATGTGAAATACCAGCTGACATTCAGTCTATCAATCAGAAACTTTTACCTATTCAATATTTAAAGATAAAAGTTTCCAGTCTTTTACGTAGCAGTTACAAAGTTGTTGGAAAAAATAAACCTACACCTACCAAAAATAACTTTGTCACAGATATACATTACTGGTCAAGAAATCCAACACTAGGGAGCAGTTCATGAGATAAGCAATTCTACTGATGGTACAACCAGAGATAAATAACTAAAACGTTAAGACGTTCTCAAAGTATTACAAGTTCCGACGTCTGTGTTGCGCTTCATTTAATAGGATAGAAAAACTCTTCCTCCCAATCTATGGAACGAGAAGTCGCATTAAGACTTCAAAAAGCCTCTCCATTTTTTAACATCCCATTAATTTCTGGTTTCATAGAAAACAGATAACCAGTACGTGATTTTACCACTTAAAAAATCATTTACACTTATCTAAATATGTAAAAAAATGGATTGAGTTGGGATTCTCTCCTTTTAAAAACGTGTTTTTTAGAACTACTAAAAAACTTGCATTTACAAAATAGTCGATAAAAATATTCCTCTGAATTATACAAGAAGAAAAGTATAAGGATCACCAATTAAGGACTTGGTACCAGATGTTATTCAGACTTCACTTCTTCTTTCTCTACTGCTGCATCAGGTGCTGGGGTCTGACAAAGAAGAGGGAAAAAAACATTTCAAAATGTTTCAAAGTAATGCAGAAATTTAGTTCATAGTATTTTTAACGCACACATTAGGCAAGCTGACTTACAGAACAACTACGACTTGCTTCTATACAGCATGCTTTGTAGTCTTAATAAATTGGAACTGTGGTGTGCTTATTTCTCTTGGATGGCGTTTAACGCTCTACTAAACTCAAGTGCTCCCAAAAGGGCTTCTATCAGCTCAGGTGTAGCAGTATGGATTTCAGATTGTTGATATAGTACTACTCAATATACACTTAAAACAATTTTAAGAAAAAAAAAAAATGTTTCAATAATTACTGCCTTACTGAAACAAAAAAAAATAACCTAACAAGCTGAAATATAGTTTAAAAAGAGGAACTCAATATAAACATTTAATTTCATTATCCTAAAGGTTTACAGAACAACCAGAAGAATATTCTGGTTAATTATAACAGTACCCAATCAGAAACCCTAACACCTGCTAACTATCCTTACCACCACCTATGAGAAGCTTTTTGAAGGATGAAGTACAGGAGCCTCCACCCCCGAGGCATTATGCTCTTTTTAACATAAGAATTCACTGCATTTTTATGAGAT